AGCTCCAGACCCAAGTGTTCCCTGCCGGACCTCAACCACGACCATCCGCGCCCAGTGTTCCCTGCCGGACCTCAACCGCCCAGTGTTCCCTGCCGGACCTCAACCGCGAGCTCCAGGCCCAAGTGTTCCCTGCCGGACCTCAACCACAGCACACAACCACAACCACAACCACAAACAGACAACCACAAACACACAACAAACAAACGCACAACCACAAACACACAACCACGGGCACAATCACAAACACGCAATGACAAGCACACAACCACAAACACAACCACAGCCACAACGACAAAGACGCAACAAACACAACCACAAGCAGACAACCACAACCACAACCACAACCACAACCACAACCACAACCACTACCACTACCACTACCACTACGACGACGACGACTACTACTATAACTACTATACTACTAGTACCACTACTACTCCTACTAGGGCCCGGGATGTTTCCAAGGTTTGGGCCGTGAAGGTCGGGCCCCGAACTGTGCGCTGCTATTGCTACTACTACCGCAGTAGCAGTAGCAGTAGCAGTAGCAGTAGGAGTAGTAGTCGTCGTCGTCGTCCGGAAGTTTCCCAATTTTGGGCCGCCCAGTACGACTACTACTTACTGAAATGATCTGAGTTGTATTATTAGTTGGGCACAGGTCTCCTGATGAAAACATTCGCTTCGGACAAAGCAGTAAGACTTGGCGCTGAAGGACTTGTGCTGTGGGCTGAAATACACAACAAGGGTGATGCCAACGTGGCTGTTTTGAAATGTCATGGTGGGGATCACTTGAAGTAAAGTATATAATTGTTGTTTTTTGTGTCGGTTGCAGGTTTCAAATCTCCACACTCACCAGTATAAGAAGCCTGCGTCTTGGATGACCAGGCCTTGGCACGTGTTCGAGGAGTCTGGGACCAAGATTTTGGACAGGCATGAGAGAGAGAGAGAGAGAGATAGAGAAAGAAAGAGCCGTTTCCTGTGCAAAATCGCCTGCGTGGTTGATGGCTCCAGCAGTTAGTGACCACCCGTGAAACATGCGGTGGATGCTAGTGGGAGTTGGTGTATGCCAGTATGCAAAAGAACCTCCAGGTAGAATTTTGTATGAATTTAGGAAGAACCGAGATGGACAACCATGCGCTTGGTGCATACATCAGCTTGTGTATGTGCCACCTGCCTTCAAGAATGCATGCATGCTCCAAGCATCATGGGGAGCCACACTTGTCAAGTGAAGGAATTTGTTTTCCTTTCATGTTGGTGTGGTTATGGTTGTCTGCCAGGTTGAGGACAACCAGAAGTGCTTCTCAACATAAACACTCCTCCTTTGACTCTTAGTAGCTTGCTGAAGTGTTGGAATTGGCGCCATGCGCAGCACAAAGTCTGGCTTGGACGGCGCTGTGAAGAAGGCCGAAGCTAAACTTATTGTGACTTCAAGGTAGTGGGTTCCAAACCCAGCAACCCACCAAAGTGTTCCTCGTCTCAGAACCCCTACTGCCACTGCATCTGAAAGGTTGGGATTGCTTTGTCTGAACCCATCACGATCCATTAAAATGGTGTGGTTGAAAATGGCTCGAAACCAACAATGCCTTGTGAAAGCCATTGTGGAAGAGCCATTGAAACTTGTTTTTGAGGTGCCTTCGACCGGTGCAAGCACCAAGACTCAGGCATGCCCACCTGTACAATTTGCTAAAGAAGTCCTTTTTCTTAGAGCGAAGGCCAGTGCAGTTGTTGAAACCTGTTGAAACACTGGCTGAACGAATTGAACACAGGCACCCTCAGCCAAGACCCAGGCGTGGCGAGATGATTCAACTGTAAGATGAAACTGTTTTGTGACAAACTCTTCCGTTCATACGCTTCGTTTTGTGTTCATTCCTGTTGATGCCTTCAATCGCAGGTTTGGGAAACACAACCATGTCTACACACTGTCAGGCGGGCCGCCCGCGCAAACCCAGCGTGTCCAGTAGCCTGCTGGAGCGAACCTTGCCACTCGGCGAAGATCCGACCGAACTGCCAAACGACTGAAGAAACGATTGAAATTGATTGAACGATGTTTGCAAGTTGAGTGGAGAACAGAGAGAAGTTCCTCTATTGAACCGTATAGATATATGTGCCGCAATTTGTTTGCTTCACCTGGAGCTCCTGTGAGAAGCAACTAGCAGCTAGGAAGATTTGCCCAAAGGACCCCGGAGCTTCAATGCGCCAAGGTCCTTTGCCAATTGCAGCGTTCATCAAATCGCAGCTGCAGTCCTCGCTGAAGACCCATCTGCCAAGACGCTTGCATTGATCTTGTACTGTTTGGATGGAAAGCTTTTGTCCTCAGCGTTGCTTCCTTTCAATGAACTATGATGAACCTACAACTGTTGCCAAGGTTTGATTCTGCATTTTGGTGCACCCTATTGACTGGAAGCCCTGCTGATGAGTTCCGGTCTTTTCAGACTCTTGCGATGCATCAGCATCTTTCAGTTCGCTCCGAAACGGTCACAGCTTTTCGACGGTGCGGACCCGTTGGCTTCAGGAACCGGACTTTAGGGTTTTGGATACAGCTCTACAATCGCTGGCAGGCGGTTGGCTCAGTCGGTCGTGGTTGAGACTTTTCGTCGTTTGAGGCTCGAGGGGCTTTCAGCCAGTGGTGTTGTTTGATCGACCTGATTGATGGAAGGACATGGGCCAATGGATCGCCAGCAAAGTGCCGGAGTTTTTAGATGGAGAAGAGTTGCAGAAGTTGTTGAAATTGCCGTCGAACAAAGTAGTGGACATCATCAAACTGCCACTCAGAGAGAATGGATCATTCCTCACATCATTTGCTTTTCTTATCTTTCCTTCATGTTTGGCCATTGGCAACATTTGGCAACCCATTTGTTGTCCACTTTATTCGTCGCAAGGTTTGACCCAGCTGGTCACAAACGCTTGTCCTTGGCTTCTGGAACGGAGGGCATGAGGAAATGCAAGATCAGGATGTGTGAGTTGATGACTGCTGGTGTCGTTCTGTCGCGGCTGATTGCTACAAAGCAAAAGCTCAAATTTGTGCTAGGCGGGAAGTTGGATGCTTTTTGTCACTTTTGTCGTCGCTTGGCCATGCCAAACACCGTTGCAGAACAGGCCTTTTCGATGTTGATGATAGCAGAACATTGGATGAGACAGAATTTGCTGGATTCGTCACTGCATTCATCTATGGCCTGGGAGCTGCATTTGGGCTACGGCACAAAGACGACATCTTGCCAACGACCAAAAGTATTCAGACTCCAGGATTTGCAGCAAGAAAACCTTTCTACCAGTAGGAGCAAAGACGCTAACAAAGGGCATCGCTACTAGGAGCAAGGACGCTATATTCAGACTCCAGGATTTCAGCAAAAAAGCCTTTGTGTGGCTTTTGTGCAAGCACTGGAAGTTGTCCACTGCAATGATCTATAGTACCCATAGCAAGCCTTGTGTCACTGAGGATCGTGGTGCAGCGGCTTTACAACCGCCTAGGGGAGATTGCAGCTAACCGATTGAAGGAGCTTTGTCGCGGAAGCACTTTCGACCGGAGTGCACTTGTGGAAGCAATCCGAGTCTAGGCTCAAAATAATTTGTAGCAGTGTAGCAACCATGCAAGGGATGGAGAGATGCAGCAAAATGGGAATAATGTATATCGTGGCTATGCCTCCAATACGGTACCATTCAAATCAGCGGGGAAAAAGGTCGTCTACAACCAGCAGGTTGCCGGGTCTTATTTTTGATCCATGGAATCCATAGCCACATGCATTGTGCCTCTTTGCATGTGCATTCGGAATTTTGAAGTGTTCCGTCTCAGCCCAGGATCGCGGACTGCAGGAGGATCCACAGCAAGCACGCGGGGTCCACGGCAGATAGTTCCTTTTGAAACTCTCATTGGTTGGTGCTTCAGATGCTTGGTGAAAGTTGGCACAGCTCATGAATTCCAAGGATGTCATTGCCAAGAATTGATGAGTGTGCTTGATGCTATTATTTCCGTTGCCCAGGAGAATACCAAGACCCCTTAGCACTTCCATATGCGCTCTCCATAGAACGTTTCTGCCCAAAGTTCCAGCCGCTGGATGAAGACCCTGAGGCGATTTGAAGTAGGACTTCGTGTGCTTTGCAAGGAAATGTGGTCGTGCTTTGCCTCACTATTCCAGATGAGAATGCATTGTTTCGCGGCAGTGACTTCTGCAGATGCCTCTTTCCTTCGTGCTGTAGGCTTTCATGGACGCAGATAAGAAGTTTTATCTCTCACACCGCTGGCCTGTCAATCCTCCGATTGAAAGTGCGGTCACCCACGATGCCAGTGCTTTGACTGCAGCAAAACGGTGGTGTGATGTTTCGCGTTTCGCTCGCGGAAACAGCTGATCTCAGGCATGCTGACACGAAAGGAGGTCGTCATTGCCCGTGCAATTTTTGAGTACTGCATGAATCAGGACTGCAATATGTGGGTCGATGTGTTCTTCCAACCTGAGTGCATCATTGATGAGTGTAGGGTAGGCAACCTTGAAGATGCTTGTCAAAGTCTTTCGTGCAACAGCAATATATAATATAGATGTTCCACGCGTGTACTGGCACGAAAGCAAACACAACCATCAGACATTGCCTGGACCTACTTTTTGGTGGATGTCAGATTTCAGTTTATGGGCATGAAAAAAGCATTCCGCGCCTCTACTTACAAAGCTGCAGGGCACTTTCCAAATGTCCCATGCGGAACTGCAAGCCGGACTTGGCAGAGATGATTTGACCGCAGATCTTTGGCAACTCGACATGTAAGTCTGGATTTGGGAGTTGGATGTGCTTGCTTCTACCTGCACTGCATTCTCTTTGCAGGTACAAGGTGCATCCAGCGCTGGAGCGTGTCCACGATGAACGATCGCGTAGCATCAAGGTTGACATCTTTACCTTCTTGCGGAAGTTGTGTCCAGGCGTGGTCGACTGCGCCTGCGCAGTAAAAACCGTGCGGTCGGAGTGGTGTGAAGACGGCCATTGAGTAGACATCGTTTTGCTGCTGGAGGGTCAGGCGGTTGACCAAGACCTTTGTTGCCTTTGTTCTATGTAATCCTTAATTATGGAGCAATGCACAGCAATGCCATCATGCCAGGAAGTCCACATGTGTAGTTTCAACGTGACGTGGACGTGTTCAGTGCAGTCCTTTACAATTTGACCTGTCTGGGCCGTTTGCAAAGGTGTGCAGCCAATGCACTTACGCATGTTTGATGGGTGGCTTCAGCAGTTCGACAAGATGCAGCATCGGCAGAAGTTCGTTGAGGTTGGACCAAGCAATTCAAGGGTCATTTGAGCAAGGAAATTAGCAAGGACGGTGAGACAGCAAGACGTAGGTAAGCTAGAAGAGGTGGCAAGTAATTAGATCTAAATCTAAATGCTTGTTGCCATTCAATCATACAGGACTTTGCTGACCAGAAGCGGAACACACTGAATGTCTTGTGCATAGCAGTGTTGTTTTGAGAAGTACGTCGCTGGGGGTGGAGGTTGACAAATGTGGATCTTGCCTTACACACACATAAGGCAAGTACACATGCTTGTTTGTTTTGCAAGATCTTTGCATTGACACACTGCACAAATCCTTAAAGCTTCTTCGTGTCTCGTTTCACATGTCTGGTGATAAGTGGCGTGCCATCAGTCCGATTCCAATATGGTTTGGGTGGTCAATTTTTGCAGACATGCTCGTACATTTGTGAGGCCTGCGAGCAGTCGGTGGCCATTTTGTCGCATACGAACACGAAGCCCGTCATTCCCGAAGTGGAGCTGGCCAAAGTGGAGACTTGGTTTGGTGATGTTTGCTCCTGGAGCGGTCTTTTGCAGCTCGCTCTATAGGGCTTTCAAGCTCCTCCCGCCTGAAGGCTTCCATGGACTTTCCTTGCCAACTTCTTTTCTCCCAGCTGGGCCAAACAGAGTACACGAGAGAATTGCCATTTACCACCCGAGGAGAGGCAATTTCGAGAAATCGATGTTGAAGGAAAAGGGCTAATCACCCTGAAGCAGATTGAGTTGGTCGCGGCCTTTGTGTGAGTGCAGGTTTGTTGAAATCACATCCAGGCAGCCAAGGAGGAGAGAGAAGCTCTCAGTGTACTGCTTAGGCAATGAACCTGGATAGTGGAATATTGAAGAAGTACGATGTTTCGGAGGATGGCTTCATTGACATTCACGAATATGTCGTGGCTCCACTGCACTGGAGTCGTAGCGCCCCACGGTTCCGCGAGGTCCTCCGCTCTCGTGTCCAGCTGAGGCGATGATGTGTCCGGATGAGTTCCGACCTCCTGAGATGAGTGGCTTCGACCAGGAGGCATTGGAGATCGGAATGATGAGGAACACTGAAATATGAAGACTGTCGACTATGTGACTCATAGATAGTCTTGACATATTGTGTTCTCCTTATGATGTGCCCCGACCTATTGCGCTAGCGCATCGCAGTTTACAGGTCTTAGGCACGTTGCTCTTGAGCTGGGCGACCCGTCATCGAGAAGAGTTGGATGAACAGAAGGCCTTGTATGCAGGAGGAGTGCCTTGGACGTGTGACAATTAGCGTCCCCCGCTGGTCTCATGTCTCATGTCCACCGGGGGTCTGTTTGGTCGTTCCAAGGTTGAGCGCAAGAACGAAATGCCTGCATCCATGCGGCCGGAGTGGGCCTTAGCCCGAGGCTTCGGAGAATCCTTTTCTAAGGCAGTATGAAGTGTGCGGGGTGGGTGTGGGCCATATGGCTAAGCGTGCAGATAGTATATACATAAGTGAACTGCAATTTCCATTCCAAGGAAGTCCCTGAAGAGACATGGACCGCTTGGAACTCTGTATTTGATCGATTGGATACAGACCACGATGGAGTTATGTCGGCAGCAGAGTTGAGGCTCCTCAGCTTGCAAGGGCCTGCCTTTTTTCCCTTCTCCGGAGAGGTAGACATTAAATTCTTAAAGTTTGGGGCTGCTTCTTCTCTCGAGAATCGAACCGCTTTTGGTCAGGCGTCGCCGATTTTAGCGGGAGGTCCTGAGTCTCAGGTTCTTTGGTTCTCTTCAGTTCTGTCAGGTCGTCGATGCTTCTCTCCCAGCGAGTTTGTGATCAGCTCATCATCTCCGCGCAAGTCGATGGGCATGGTGGCATTCCTCGAAGAGCCTCGGTGAAAGCCCGGCTCGCCTGACTCGCGTTAGGTGCTCCTCCCAAACTCTTTATGCTTGTGCACTGCATGCTCAGACTCTGGAATGGACCTCGAAGTGTCCCATCTAGGATCCAACTATCCATGACGTGTTCGTTTTATGTTGCAGTGAAGTACTTTGTGCGATTGATTGTGGATACACTTGGCTGTCCTCTCTTGGCATGTTTAGTTTTTGTTTTGTTTCCCATCAAACCTTGCAGCCCATCTTGCGTGGAAAAGGAACCAATCTTTTGCCGTTTGGCCGAAGGAGTTGCAATCATCATACATGACGTAGCACAGCTATGCGTGTCCTGTCGCCTCAGGAGACTTCTTGCTCGCCCTTCTGGACTACAATGTGCCTTGTTCCAACCTTTTTGGAGCTTTGTTGTGTTGCAGACGGTTCCCGCAAGAATTGCATCCTTGTTGGCCGAAATTCAGGCAGCTTTAGACCACAGACTCCGGACCCCTCAACGTTTCGCTGTTGAGTAGAAAGCACATAGAAAGCACATATAGCGCGGACTGCAGTGGCTGGTTTCTCCTTGCTTTGGCTTCACAATGATGTCCTCAACAGCAAGGTAAGCTGTACAGGCATGTATTTCTTGAGCGCACTCGCGGAACTTGTGTCTCAACCGGCCTGCCCAAACTAAGAAGTTGCGCCGACCTGGTTTTGTGATGAGCGCAGCAGATAGTTAATCGACATACGCTCTTGTGACTCGCAGAAGTTCAACCCTGAACGAGCGGCTTGGCTTGACCAGCTTGTTAAATAGACCTGAAGCATTTAGCGCCAGAATCAGATTGATTTGTTGCGCCAGCAATTCTGCCACTTGCTTCCTCCACAGCTAAATGCGGCTGGATGTGTTTTATGGTATATAGTCGCACGGGACGTGTAAAAAGCACGTTTCAACCTTTGGAAGGTCATTTGCAAGAAGCAGACCTTCACACAACAGCTGAACAAGCTGCCATGGTACTGCCAAGCAGTATTAGCAGTTGGTTCTTGCTTCACGTCATTTTCTAACAGTGGAGGCCATAGACACAAAAGTCGCATTTTACCTTATATTGCCAACGAGTTTTGGTGCAAACACTACTTCGTAAAGCTCTGCACCAACCCTACCGGCTGACATGATTTTGGTCATAGCCACACTTTCGATCCTTAGTTGTGTTTCTCCAAGGTGAAACAAAACTTCCTGAGGCAGGCTTTGAGGGGGCCAACTTGTTTGACTTGACACCCCACTGCTGTTGCGCATGCTTTTAGTAATTTATGCGGACAGCCTTGGAGTGTGAACACCGATAGCTGACTTCATGAGGCGCTTGCACCCGGCTGCGGCAGCAGAACATGCTGCATTGTTGCTCGACTGCACGCTTTTTGGCCTTTTTTCCTTGTCTTGATCATGTGTCATCCATGTCTTTGTTTCCAGCCATTTGAGAGCCCGACTCTTCCCGCGGCGACGGGACGGGACTCGCGGGATGGAATGGTGGGCTGGTGGGTGAGTCTTGTGTCCGTAACAGCTGCGTGGCGTCTTCTGGAGAAGAACTGCTGGCCGGATTTTTCAGCTCACTATGCGTTGTGTTGCCAGGAGGCCTGGAGGGCCACCTGTAATCTCTGCGTTTACAAGAGCATTATTGTCGAAGCGGGCACGTCGGTGTCGGGGGGCCGCCGAACGGACGGTGGTGAAGCCACGGGGCTCGAGCGGAGGGAAAACCGGTGCGTGGCCACTTTTTAGTGGCAGCGGAGCACCTGGCGACGATCCGGGGCACCGTGGAGGGCACGTGCGGGGGGCCTTGGCTACGTGCGGGACTTTTTGGTGGAGCTCGAGCCTCGTGGCTGAAGGGGCGCGATGACGTCGTACTACGCCGCCTTCGAGGTACATGTGCCGGGAGATGAGCCCGGGGGGTTTTCGGATTCGGACATGAATCCAGGGGATGCATCCTGGAGTGGCGCCTCCGGGATTGAGGGTAGCCGAGCTGGAGGGCAAGATCACGAGTGGGATTGGGAGTGGGCTCCATCCTCTCGTTCTTCGTGGGGCAGCAGCTGGCATAGCTATCGGTGGTACGGCGACAACCAGGCCGAGAACTGGTCATGGGATGGGAACTGGTCGGGTTCCGGGAGGTCGACACGTGGCCGCGAGAATTGGGAAGGGCACCGCTGTGGGGCGGCTCCGGGACATCTTGACGGACCCGAAGGTCATGCTCTTCGTAGCGATTCGGGACTTGGTGATGAAGGTGATTCGGGACTTTGGGAAGGGCATGCGGGACTTGGACGAGCTCGCGGAGGTTCAGAACATGGACGACCTGTGCCTTCGAGGCCGGAGGGACGGCTGGAGTCGCCAGCCTCTCCCATGATGGCGGGGTTTGACCGTCATGGAAATCCCCCTTCCGGTGAGGTTTCATCAGGTGGGGACGCTCCGGAACCCCGCGGACCTGGAGAAGAGGCAAGGGCCACGTCGGCCGCGAAGGGGAAGGTGAGCAGTTCCTACCCCCCCATTTTCAGAGCGAAGGTGGGTGAGAGCTACCGGGACTGGCGTCGCTCGCTTGAGTTCTGGTTGGGAGGTGAGGGACACCAGATTCCTGAAGAGTTCATCGGGCCAAGAATTATGGTCCAGTTGAGGGACCGCGCCGCCCAGCTCGTGAAGCACCTCAACAACAGCGACGTGAATAGACCGGGCGGCATGCAGAAGATCTTTGAGGTCCTTGAGAGAAGCCCTCTGGTGCGGCAACTTGATAAACACCGAGTTGACCAACACCGAAAACGCTTGATGTCCTTGGCCCGCTACGCGGGAGAGTCGTTGGAAAGCTACATCACGCGGGGCAGCATATACCGCACCCAGCTGTTGGGCCTGGATGCGACTCTCGAGATGGGAGAGAGGTTCTATGTTGGTCACTTGCTGGACCACGCCCGCCTCAGCAGACGGGACAAGGTCTTGGTGAGGGCCCGAGCTGGAAATGAATCCGAGGAAGCAATTACCAACGCCCTGGTGGAACTTGCTGCAGAATTAGAAGGAGAACACGGATATCCAATCGGGGCCTCGGAGCCAAACACTGCTGGGGCTAATGGCGATGAGTGGCTGGTGCAACGTGGGGGACAAGGACAAGGTGGCCTCGCGCCGGGACGGAGAGGAGGAAGGGCCGCATTGGCCGCCGAAGTGCTGAGCGAGAAGCAGGGTGAGGACGCGGAGACCGTCTTGCAGGAGGACGAATTGGGTGAGGACAGCCTCGAGGAGGACATGCCGCCGGAGCTGAAGGAAGTGGAGCGGGAAGCATACGCCATGCATTACAAAGCGAAACAACGCATGGCAGAAGTCAAGAAGCTCCGACAATACTATCGGAAGGGAGACCAGGTTGAGGAGCGCAAGAAGGCCTTAGCCGAAAAGATCAAGAATACGGCATGCCACAATTGCGGCGAGATAGGGCATTGGAGTCGGGAGTGCCCTAACCCGAAGGCTCAGCAGGTCTTGATGGCGGCACCCGCTATGAGCAGGCGAAGGACTCGGCCCCGAACGGCGACATCTTCAATGGGGGCCATGACTACGGTGGAGGAGGAGCCGCAGGATCATGAGTGGGATTTGTTGGTTTCACTCTGCACTCATGGCGAAGCCCCATCGAAGATGAAGCGCGTGGAGCGTACATGGCGCTGCCGTGCGGGGTGGGAGCCACTGGAGGAGCGGCCAGCCATGAAGTTTTTTGGTGTGTACAAGAACTAGCCACCGCCGTGATACTCGACATAGGTTGCTTGAAGTCGGTGGCGGGAACTACATGGGTGAACCAGCTACTCAACCAATGGCAACGACACGATCGATGGTTCGTCGTTGAGAAAGAGAGAGAGGTGTTCAGGTTTGGGGATGGCAACACCTTGACCAGTGAGTACGGGGTCCAACTGGAGGCAACCTTTGCGGGACGGCCGGTGATTCTTGGGTTCTCGATCGTGAAGGGTGACTGCCCCCCTTTGTTGTCCAGACATGCCCTGACACAATTGGGGGTGAGTTTTGACTGTGAACGACATGTTCTCTCCTCCAAGAAGCTGGAAGTGAAGTCATATGGACTACGGCAAACCACCAGCGGACATTACGTGATGGACATTGCCGAATTCGATCTCGACCAACAGCCTAACATTCCGGCCGACTTTCGATTGGAAGCGGGCCGGGAGGCCTGCCTTTGGAACAAAAAGAATGAGGTCCTGGTTGGGCAGGGTTTTGGCTCAGAAGCGAACGGTTGTGCGCCCGACCTTTGTGTAGCGCATGTCGACGCGGGCCAACTTCTGCCGGGTATGCGGCGATCCAGGTCACCGCACCAAGCAGTGCCCCAACATCCAGTCCGAGGAGGAGGACCTGGCACACCTGCAGAGCGTCCTGGCCATGGAGACGGCGAGTCATCGAAGTTGGGAAGAGCCGGCGGCCAGCAATGTCTCCATGAAGAGCTATCAGCCGGTGGAACGATCCTCTCCGAAGAAGCAACCGAAGGCCAAGGCTCAAGCATCAGGAGCAGGAGCCCGGCCCGAGCAGTACCGGTTGGACCAGGACGAGACGGAGATCACCGTGGCGGACCTCACCCCTCAGGAGATGGCTCGCATTGTGAAGTCGAGAGCCAAGGCGCAGAACGCGCGTGTGAAAAGGGAGGAGACCAAGGCGCTCACGGGCATCCGAGCCGATTACCCGACTCTCTCCAACAGCTACAGCGAGGAGATCGCCTTCAACATGCTCTGGTGTATCAGGAGCAAGATGATCAGCTTTCTGTGGAAGAAGTTGCTGTGGCAGTTGAGGGTGAAGGATGCCGTGGAAAGGACGATGCCCGGAGCTCGTTGGAAGCGCAATCACCGATGGCTCGCGATGCTCCTGGGCAAGGAAGTGGCATTTTGGTGGGGTCACTTCGGGAGTCTGCGTCAGCGGATGCACGCTCCCATTGCTCTTCCTCTGATGTGAAAGTGACCACGGAGCTCGACTCGGAGGAGAACGCCAGGAAGGGTCAAGGGGAAGGCGGTTTCCACTACATCGACCTCGAGGAGGATGTCTCGGAGGATGACCAGGGTGGCCACACCGCGAAGGAGACTACGGAGGACTATAACCTTGACGAGGGGGAGACGAACTATGAGGCGTACTTCATCGAGGAGCTCTTCGTGGATGAGGAGGAGATGATTGACATGTATGAGGAGCACCGGGCCGTGTTCTACCAGGAGCGACGGGCCCCAGGAACCTGGGTGGAGACAAGGCCGCCTCGAGGTTTGACTCAGCAATTCAAGAAGGGAGTTCAACAAGGACGACGGTTGATGGAGGCCGTGAAGCAGGGTGCCCGAGTCAACGACAAGTTCATGGTGCTGGAGATTTTCTCGGGAAGCTCTATGCTCACCCGGACGGCCATGGAGGCTCCGGGATGGGGAGCCTATCAACCGATAGACGTCTTGCTGGGGGAGGATGGGGACATGTCCAAGAAGCCAAATCGGGAGCGAGTGAAGAACACCGTCCGCACTCTGAAGCCCGACCTGGTGGTCATCACCCCGCCCTGTGGTCCGTGGTGCGCCTGGCAGCGACTATGTCATGATTTGGACAATTTGGATGAGATCCGGAAGCGCCATCTACCATTTTGGAAGTTGGCCAGAGAGGTGTGGGACATCCAGCAACAGGCAGGCCGGTTGTGCCTGACGGAACAGCCCCTGGGGTCAGAGGCATTGGAGACCAAATATATGGTGGAGCGTGAGCCGGTCGAGGTGGATCAATGCATGTTTGGGCTGAAGGACCCCGTGTCACAGTTGCTCTACCGCAAGTCCACCGCTTTGGATGTGACGGAGCAGGCCTTTGCGGTGGGATTGGCAGGTGTGAGGAGATGCAACCATCAACCCCGGGAGCATGAGCAGATTCGGGGCTCGGTGATAGTGGCCGGTCGCCGCCGTCAACGGTCAGAATTGGCGGCCTGTTGGACGAAGGACTTTGCCACATACATTCTCCAGGCCGCCCAGAAGAGTTTGGCAGGACGCCCCTCTACCCTGGAGCCACCACATGTTTTGGAAGTGTCCCCAGTGGATGAAGAAGGCTACGACATCCTGCCGGTGGAGATTGAGGAGGGCATCTTGACGGCCGAGGAGGTGTTGAAGAGACAACTTCGCCAGATGGGAGCAGAAGGCGAGCGCTATGACTACATCCAATTTGAAGGGGAGGCGAGAATGCTGCCGCGCCGCACTCGGGCGACGCTGGCCCACCTGCACGTGGCTTTGGGACATCTGTCCAATGATCGCCTACACCGCATGGTGAGCCTGGCCGGAGGGAGTGCTGATCTTCTAACCGGGATTAAAAGCTTGCACTGCCAGGTGTGTCAGATGGTGCGGCCTCCCGGGAGCAAGCCACAAGCATCCTACACCAAGCCCACCAACTTCAACGCCAAGGTGAGCGGCGACGTGTTCTACATCTGGGACGTGAAGAACGTGAAGTACGCGGTGGCGCACTACATCGATGAGCTCACGGACTACCACGTTGGAGCATTGGAGTTCGACCCGTCTTCGGACTGGGCAGCTGAGACCCTATGCCGCCTGTGGTATGATGTCTTTGGCCCACCAGACGTCCTACTCACGGATGGGGGAAGCGAATTCTATGGATCGGTGGCCAGGCTGAACGATCTCTTTGCGGTGCAGCACGACATCGTGTTCGAGCAGGCCAAATGGCGACTGGGACATGTGGAGCGTCATGGCGCCCTGGTGAAGGTCATGATGATGAAGGTCATTCAGGAGCTGCAAATCTCCAAGCTCCAGGACATGCAGTGTGCGTTGGTTTCCTGCATGGCATCCAAGAGCCGCATCGCCACCAAAGGCGGCGTCTCTCCTCTGCAGGCAGTCACGGGCCGGAACACGTCGCTCCCTGGTTCGCTCTTGGCGCAGGTCACCAGCGGGAAGGTCAAGTTCAAGACCAATGAGATGATCACCCAGGACGAGGCTCTACGCAGGAGCGAGCGGATCAGGTCAGCTTCTCAAGAGGCATGCCATTGGCTGGACGCCCATGAAGGGCTGCGACGTGCCCTGGCGGCACGGTCCAAGCCTCCTATGATGGAGTTGATTAGAGAAGGGGCGAGTGTCTATGTCTATGATCCTCCCGTTCAACGACGCGGACTGGCGAGGCGCCTGCAGGACAACATCTCCTGGAGTGGACCAGCGGTCGTCGTCTGTGTGGAACGCGATGGCACCGTTCCTAAGAAGATCTGGGTGAGGCTCAGGTCTCGAGTGAAGGCCTATCCTTTGGAGAAGATCAGGTTGGCCACCGCAGATGAGCTGTTGAGCGCGGACTACATCTTGGCCGCCCTGAAGGACATGGAGGGAGAGCTACAAGGGGGACGCCTTCAAGTACAGGACTATAAGCCGGAGAAGGGCAGCGATAAGGACGACGAGATCGAGAAGGAGTCCGGGCAGCTCTCGGCGGAGGTGGAGCGCAAAAGAGAGCTACAACATGATGTACCAGAGGCGCTCAGGCCCGAGCAAGAAGCCGAGGTCGAGCCACACACCCTGCCGTTCCAGAAGAAACAGCGGCTATTTGAGCAGTTGGCAAAGGACCTCGGTGCGCCGACCGCCATGCAAGAGGCAGCCGTGCGCAATCGGTTGGAGTCGGCCTATGGGGAGCTCAAGAAGGTGAGAAAGGAGATGAAGAAGGAGGCGAAGGACAAGGAGCGCCAGGCGGCCCGCGGTGTGTCAGTCGCCGCCGGACCGAGGACTTCATCCAAGACCAAGGGCAAGGCCGAGCTGGTGGTGGAGAATGACAATGACGACAAGAAGGTGACACCGTGGAGCACCCTCTGGTCGGAAGTGGAGACACAGGCACTACTCTGGGAGGCTGAGGATGAGAGCAGTCCATGGATGGCGCAGCTCGTGGAGAAGGCAGAGTGCCACGCAGAGGGCGAGGTGAAGGCAGTGATGGAGGCGCAGCTGGTCACGGGCAAGCTCCGCGTGGAGTACCAGTGGAAGAACCTCAGTGAAGAGTGGCGGAAGGCCTACGAACAGCCCCTCATCAAGGCAGTGAAGGTGTACTTTGACCACGATGCCATCCAGGGAGTGAGCAAAGATGCAGTGGTGGACCCGCGGAAGATCTTGAGCTCCAGGTTCGTTCTCACGAATAAGGGCGGAGAGACCTTGATGGAGGCGGAGTTGAAGGCAAGGTGGATCCTGGGCGGGCACCGCGACGTGGAGGCTGGTAAATTCCCTACGTTGGCGCCTACGGCAAGCATCCTGGCACACAACATCCTGAACACGATTGCCGTGCAGATGGGGTGGGTCGTGCAGTATGAGGACGTGGCATCGGCGTTCTTGCAAGGGCAAAGGTTGCCGGCCAGTCGAGAAGTATATGTTCGCATGCCCACTGGCTATCCCGGCGTGGTCACGGATTACCTCCTGGAGCAGTTGGGGGATTCCTGCCGCACGGATCTCCTGAGGCTTTTGAAGGGAGGTTTTGGCCTTTGTGAATCGCCCCGCCTGTGGTACTTGGAGTACAAGGCGACCCTCAAGGAGATCAACCTCAACGAGCTCAAGCTCATCCCGGGCATGTTTGTGGCCTTTCACCCGGATGGACGACTGAGGGCTCTGGTCACGATCCATGTGGATGACACCCGATATGCCGGCGACGAGAGTGCTCAGGAGATTTGGGACGCACTCCATCAGCGGCTGAAGTTTGGGCAACATCGAAAGGCGACTGATGGATGGCAAAAGTTTTGTGGACGGTATGAGCGACAAGATCCACAGACCTTCGAGTTCTACTACACGATGGAGGACTACATCACGAAGATTCCGGAGATCCTCAAGGAGGAGTGCGCGGCGGAGAAGGGCCCCCTCACGGAGAAGGAGAGGGTGAAGATCGGCTCCATTTTGGGGCAGGTCAACTGGGCAGCCAGGCAGGGACGATACGACCTGTCCTATGGGGTGTCGCACTGTCAACAATTGGCGGGAGCCGGACTACGAGAAGCCATGGAATGGACGGCCAAGTTGGTGAGCCGTGCGAGAAAGGAGGTCGAAGTGAAGGTGACAAAGCTGGACTGCGACCTCAAGGAGGCCATCGTCATTTCGGCAAGCGATGCGGCCTATGCTGCTCAGCCCAAGGAGCATTCCCAGGGAGGCGTCATGTGCCTCCTCGCCAACCCGAAGGTGCTTGAGGGGGTGGCGCCGGTGGCGGTGCTCGAGGCGCAGAGCATGAAGATCCAGCGAGTGGTCAGATGCTCGATGAGTGCGGAGCTGTCCATGGCCGCGGAGGCCTTTGAGCACGGCGACTTCGTGAGGGCGGTCTTGGCCGAGACGCTCTTCGCCGACTTCGAGATCCGGCGCTGGAAGTGGTTCGCGAGCCGGTGGCCGCACTATCTCGTGATCGATGCGAAGACCGGCTACGACGTCCTGAACTCGGAGGCGATGACCAGCGACCGGAAGATCATGGTGGATGCCGCCGTGCTGCGGGAGGCGCTCATCGAGGAAGGCACCGCCAACTATGTGCGGTGGATCCCCGGCCGGGAGATGGTGAGCGATGGCCTCACGAAATGGTCGGATAACGGAGTTCTCCTTCAGGTTCTCCGTGAAGGCAGGTGGTCGCTCGTCGACAATGAGGAAGCGCAGCGGCTGAGGAGGGAAGCGGCCGAGCGTAAGAAACGCTATGTCCATGGCCGGGCGGCCCCAAAGACACCGACACCATAGGGGGTTTGTGTCGAAGCGGGCACGTCGGTGTCGGGGGGCCGCCGAACGGACGGTGGTGAAGCCACGGGGCTCGAGCGGAGGGAAAACCGGTGCGTGGCCACTTTTTAGTATTATTGACTTGTTCCAGGGTAATCCATCCAGATTAATTGAGTGAACTCGCCTTCATTGCAAAATGGAGGACTTGGAAACAGACAATAGGTGTCAAGGAGTGTGAAGTAGTACGACAGCCACGCACGAGACGTGCCAGAAAGAGCGACACCAAAACATGCAAATGCAAATGCAAATTGATGTGTGCTCAACATGTGCTAGAAAACGATCTGATAGGTGTCCGAATTTAAAAATACTAGAACCACAAATGTCAACAAGACATTTCTGTCAACACTCTTGGTTTCCAATTTGGATTGCACCTTTGCGACAGGGGATCCCCCCTGATGCCCGCTGCTTCGACGAAGCACGAACCTACGAGAGGTGCTGTGGATGTCCGGACTCCGGACGTCTGTCCTTCGGTGAGACATTGAGTCGGCAGTTTTTTGGACCACTGCTTTGCGATGGCCCCGAGACGACTCCATCGGTGCACACACACCGAGACGACTTTTGGGTGTCTCACCGGGGGACCGTCCGCTTGCTACGGGTCTTTATTTATCCCCTGCCGCGCATGTTTAACGCAGACCTGCTGAACCGGTTGCAACTGGGTGGATGGATGACCGGAAGTGAGTGTGACTACGGTCTCACCCCTTGCACGGAAGCAGCTTGGAATGGCCTTTTTTCTGTGAACCGTCAGTTTGCCACTGAAGTCATCATATTGCTGAAATTTCTAGCAGCTCCAGAGGGGGTTCTGACAGAGGACCCCAATGAAGCAGATCTTTTCGTCGTCCCCTACTTTGCCAAGACAGATTGTGCCGAAAGCGGCAACGCGGGTCGCGATCCTTGTTGGGGAAAATGCAAGTGTGCTACTGCAGTGAAACATCTTTTCGCTGCTCTGCCTCACTTTTCCTGGCGCACGCGTGGGCGTCACTTGTTCCTCGCCACCGGTGACATCAAGGATTTGCCAGTGGAGATTCAGTCCCAGCCTTTACTGCTCTCTTTGGGTGCGTCTTTCTGTGGGGGTCATATTGTGGTTCCAAGTCCCAACCTTGATCCAGACCTGCAACCCGGCGCCAAGATGGAGGACAAAGAAGCATTGGGTCGTGAGCCGGAGAGGCATATTTTCGCCTACTGGTTTGGCTCCATCGACAAAGTATGGAGAAAGAGAGTGGTAAGCCAAATGCAGAAGCACAAGCAGACCATCGATGCCAAGAATGTGGTTATTCACGGGATTGATGGAGACTATGAGGCTCGAGATATTTGGCAAACATCTGCTACCTCTCCGCAAATGGTGCTGGAAGAGATGATGAGGCAGAACTCGTGATTCAGGGGGGGTGCTTTCACATTTGACGCACCAATTTCTAGATGCCCCATGACTCATGACAGGGTGTTGTGGTGCACCATGTTCCGACGCTTTTGGGAGGTCTGTATTCTGCCCGGTGATTCAGGGAGATGTGCCTCATCAGAAGAGACTTTTTGTGCAGTCCTCAGCTTTCTGTGCATACTTGTGATCTAGTTCAATTCTGATCATCGGGACAATCCTGAAATTTTGCAAGGATGCCATGCTCACGGGTTGCCTTCCCGTGGTGATTGCATTTCATTCGCACGTTCCTGGCCACGTCAGCTGGTGGCTTCCTGGTGGGCCACCTGCAGAACGAATGGTACCTTTCTGGTCGGCCATTGACTACCGAAGCTTTGTGGTTGAGGTTCCCGAGCAGGAGGCTGTCGCGGTGTCGGTGTTTTTTTTTTTTAAATGTGCTTTTTGAAACACCGCGGCGCGGCGGCGGCGCTCTTTTCAAGTTGCCTGATGAGGTGCATGACTATATAGTTATATAGTTATATCGTACAGTGACAGGAGTCATAATCTACATACAGTATTATAGCAATATATTATATACACACTATACCATACTATACCTCTAATTTACGATGACACCCTTGCTTTGATAGTTGTTCTTTTTGTGTGTCCTCCCTGGCTGAAGCGGCCAGGTGAGGGCTGGTGAGTTTATGACACCGTTGATGCGGATGGGTCTGCTGGAGATTCAGCGTCGCCGAGAAGCAATGCGTCTCGCTCGGTCCAAGATCCGATTTGACTTCTCTGGATCCTCTCCGGATGCCTTCACTCAAGTAGTCATTCAGAGACTTGGCGGGAAAGAGGGGTTTGTTGAGTCTAAGAACAGCAGTCATTGGGGCTGTTCAGGCTGTTCCTTTCCAAGAGCGGGAGGGCACTAGTAATTCGGATCAAAGGTGACGAGGGTGTGGCAGCACTGGGCACACTGTTCTTCCTGGCGATTTCTGCTTTCAGCGTCGTCACTGTGCCATGAGGATTTGGGATTTCCTCTCTTTGCTTGATGCCGGGTCCCCGTGCCATGGGAGAGGACTGGCGGTGGCAAATGCCACGGCGTTTGACTGTGGCGTGCCTCCTACTATTGAGGAGGCAAGGTCCCTTGAGCGTTTGTAAATCCTTGTGCTGTAGAAATTCTCGTTCTGAGCTGAATATATACGTATATATATATACATTGTGTGTGTGTGCGCTATATTTTGAACAGAGTTACTGTAGGGAAGTAAGTTGTGCCATGATTCCATACGCCCGTTCTCAGGGCACCCAGATGTACGGCCTCATGGCATGCTGCCCAGTTGTTGCAAGCCGTGGCCCTACAATCCGACCACCGTCACGAGTGCAGCATTGGCATTGAACGTTCAGGATTAAGAGCTGTTTCTTCGTTGTGATTCTACCACCTGCCTGGCCCAAGTCCAAGTGGTTTGCACTTCAGCTCGAAGGCTCGAAGCACAGTTGTTGCATTGATCGCAGATGAAGGTGGTCCACAGGCACCGCCAGCATCCAGTATTGGCGCCGTCGAGAGCCAGATCAGAGACCCATATCCGCCACTTCCTATCTATATGGAGGAGGGTTGCGAGTTGGCTGCCGTTCATCCCACCGAATCGCAGGGAGACTTCGTAAAGCCAGGCAGAGAAAAAACGTTGCTGCGCTGTGTGTGTGTGTGGGCGACCTGAGTGATGCTGGATCTGACGCTGGTAGCACATCGCCCACGTCACACCTCCTCCCTTCATTTGAGGCTTACGCAGTGGCAGCAGCGCAGCGGCACTATACGAGTAGTGGTCAGGGTCCGCCCAATGGTGGCACCAGGCAGGCCTGACCAAGAACTTCCTTTTGAGTCGAGGGCATTACCAATGCACATACATTCACGAAGGAGTGATACTCCGTTACTTTCGTCCCGGCGTCAAGGGCTTCTGTCTATATACTATATACATATATATATACATAATCATGGAATCACGTTCACAGCCTAAACCTTTTGCAAACGGTTCTGTGCAGGTCTTCCAGAGTCAATTGAGCAAGAGGAGCCGGCTTGCGCCTGTGGAAGTGCAAGATTGTTTTCTTCGCACGGGGTTGCCACCTTCACCGCGTTCTTTTCAGGGTCGCCACCTTGAGGCAGTCAAGATTCTGCCGGGTGCTGCACGACACCGAGGGATCACCGTCGTGCTCTCAGAGTCGGATGACGCGGAGACCTCGCCAAACGTGGGAGTTGACCGCAGGTGGCCATCCCCCGACGAGGCCGTGCTGGAGCGGAGGAGCATAGCTTCAGGCGACTAGATTATGTGCTGAGCTCTGACAAGGCCGGACCGAGGTGGTTAATATGCTTGGAGAAGGATAGATTTCAAAGTGTGATCTGGGACATGCAACGATATTATACTAAATCATATTTTTAACGTCTTTATGTAAATCATATTTTGAAAGTCTTTATGTATTATACATTATCTATATGTTTCTATATACATATATGGATTCTTTTGGTTGTTGTTTGCTGTCCACCTTTGGCAGGGTCAAGAGGCGGTCTTTCATGAGCTGCGGGCCATGTTGCCATCTGCAAGTCCAGGTGTGGCAAGCAGTGGCACTGGTTTTGTCGATGGATGATGTACGCTGATAGTCATATCATTGTATCATCACTTTTTGTCATTCTTTTATGCATGTGTTGAGTCTGCCAGGAGGCCTGGCTGGCCCGCCCCAGCAACAGGCTGAGGATTTTTGGATTCTACAGTCCAACGGGACATCATCATAACCTTCTTTGAATTTGTCTTCAAGTTTTGCATGTGACCTCAGGTCTGCTTGCATCCTGGCCTACGGCCAGACAGGTCAGGGCCCCTCAACATTGGACATAAGTTGTGGCTGGCTTTCAGAGCTGACGCTCCTGAGGCTCTGGAAAAACTCACACTATGCATGGAGGACAGTTCTGGCGCTCGAGAGACCAGAGCAGCAGCATATTGCCCTCTTGCCTTGGCAACCTCTAGCTCTAGCTAGGAAGTGGTGAAGAGAATTGGGGCCTCGTTCCCCGAGTTCTTTCTGAAGTCTTCCAGCTGGCCGGAGCAAGCAGAGCCCTCGGAGGCATCACTGGGGGACATTGCCGTTGGAACGATGCACCTCAGGTGGCGCCACTGTGTCACTGAGCGCAGTTGAGATCTATAACGACACGGCGTGCCCACCCTGCGGACAGCTCTTTAAAGCTGCAACATGCTGCCCAACATCCCGAAGCCTGGAAGGGACATCTTTTCAGTTGTAGAGATTTTTTGTTGGTTCTCAAAGAGGTACGACCTCTTGGACGGTGCAGCCACTTCAGCAGGTGAAGCAGCGAATGAATCTGCTGGTTCTTTCCTCAGATATTGTTTTTTTGTCCCCTGCATCCGCGTTTCTCTGTAGGTCGCGCGTTTTCAGCCGGGCGCCTGCCTCCTCCACCGGGGCTGAACTTCCGTCTGGGCTGCCAATGTGCATTGGGGCAGGCAAAGCAATTTCTTCACGAGCTTCTGCTAATTTTGTTGATTCTGAACATCTGATTGTTGAGCCAAGAGCTGGGGTGAAGGCCACTTCAGTGGATGTGCTGGCGATGGAGGCAATGCGCTGAGGAACATACTTACATTCGCATCACTGGTCTCAAGCTGAGGAGGCTGAGGCTTTGCTCCTCCAAGCTGCTGAGCGACGCAGCACCAGAAGCACGACTGATCCTCAGCCGAGCACGACATCGCAGGTGTCCCACACTGAATCGATTGTGATCGCAGGTGCTTTAATGCGACCAGCAGCCGTTCACACAGCTTGGTCACTTGCCGAACATCAAGTTTGACTCAAAAGACTAGATGGACCTAGATAGGCTGCAGAGATGGAGACTATAGGCGTGAAAGAACAGCTTTGATTTTATGACTCGAGCTCGCGCTACAGCTCAGGTCTTCGTTCATGCGAGTCTTCCAGGAGCTCACGGTTCCAGCCTTAAAGGTACCCAAAACACAAACCTCACTACAAGTTGACAGTGTTCATACTCAATCCCTTGGTGATTCCCATCAAGAGACCTCACGTGTCTCTCTTAAGAACTAGCACCTCTCCCGGACCTGTTTTGGCTTGAGGTGAGCCCGCGTTACGCCTGGCTTTTGTAGACCTCGCCGGCTCTGAACGGTTGCCAGCAGAGGCGTGTTCCAGAACTCTGAGTAGAATGTCTGGCTTGCCGAGCGTCCAAACAAGTGTTGTCATCTGCCATGCATGCACAGGCTGGTGGTGCAGTGGCCGAAGAAAGCAGACATATCAATCTTTCGTCACTTGTCCGAACCTTTTTGCCTTGGAACTTCCAGTGCTGATCCTGGTCACTCAAGTCACTCAAGCTGCCTTGTTTTTAGGCTGTCTGCTCTTGGCTCCGTGATCCATGCACTCAGGCTCGTTGTTTTGGCCACACGGCCGGTGATTCCCTCCCTCCTATCGATTCCCGAGGTGAAGGAAGGAGCAACAAAAGGCAAAGCAATGCCGAGCAATCCGCTGAGCAAACCCAAAGGAGTAAGACGCTACTAGTAACAAGAAGCTAGTAGTAACAAGTGCCTCGCTAGTAGTAACAGGTGCCTTACTAGTAGTAACAAGAAGAGTAAGATTCCGTCTCCGGCCCCCACTTCGTGCCGCGCGTCTCAGACGCCGACCGTGCCGAAAAGTCACTGTCCGAGGCATCGTGCCAACCACTTGCCGTACAGGGCATGCTTGTTGACCCGGCTGTTGGAGCCCTTTTTCAAGGCCCAGGGAGAACTGGTGACGTGTATTTCAAGGTCACCTGAGTCATAGCAGAGCATGCAGAGCATAGGCAACCAATGAGAATCACCCTGTAACTCCAGCAGCTGTAGCTCTTCCACCATCTTACAGCTCAAGTCCGTGTCCTTGCCCCCAAAATCGTTGCGTCTTTGCAACTGGATCTTTTTGGTGAATGACTCGAACTGGGGTCTTGCGAAAGTTGCAACTCAGTGTCTAGACTTGACTAGACATCATCTTCAACGCATGGTGCCAGGTGCTGCATTTCACAGTGCCAGTTAGAAGATTGGGCATAAGCCCTTCCTTGAAGCTCTGGGCCCAAACACCCTGGGATTCAGGCTTCCATCCACTGATGTCAATTTTGTGAATAATGCCTTCAGATCAAATGAGTGGTTTTTGGTACATTGGCATGTCCAAAATCAAGGCTGTAGGGCCTGTAGGGCCTTGAAACTGGTGCAAGTACAGTAAGGGAAACGATTTCGCCTGGTTTTGATGGGGTTTGATCCCGTATGTATTTCCCAATGCCATCGAATGGAAAGGGCCCCTCAGAACGGAGCTCGCTGATATGTTTGTTGGGTGACCCCACATTGAGTGAAAGCCACAGCTGGAACAATCCATGAAAACCTACAGGACTCCAACGATTCCACTGCGATGCGGCGCACTACTAAAGTGAACCGCGGCCCCCTCTAGAAGTCCGTGAGACAACTGGAAGTGCTACTGTATACTTTGTGCTTGCCCTCACACACTGGAAGAGACGGACACCGTGCTAGGCCAGTGGGAGAGTGCTGCTTTGTGTTTGCATCAGCCCCGAGCGCCGCCATGCGCAGGCAGAACGAATCTTCTAGATACAGAGCCTTTTTTCCTGCTTAATGTTCGCACTTTAGGAAACGCTTTGCTCAATGGCCTTTGCTGACCGGGCGAGTCGAGCAACTCTTGGGGCAGAGTCTGCACAAGAGGCACGCAGTCAGCATGGAGATTCGTTGCCAGAAATACCTTGGACAGAATCATCACTCTAGGTGCAGCGTGGGGAAGCACTTGATACCGTGCGCGAGCTGCACGCAGTCTTGCGGATGACGATCAGGACGGAAGACTTGTGCGATCTTATGCCTGCCTGGCCCCGGATCTTTTTTCAGGGACCTGATTCCGCAGTGCGTTGGAATGCGGAACACCACTCGCCTTCCTGACTGGCTGGCAGCAGAGGCAGTGGGCTCACAATAGCTTTCTTTGAATTCACCGCGCCTGTCCTTCGTCCTCCCGTGTTGAGGTTCTTGCTTACATGCCCGAGCATGGTGGAGCCATGTTTGTGTGCCGTGCGTGGGCGGAGATGTGCTTGCGACTTGGCTGCCACGGCATGCCCCGTCATGTTTGGTCAGGAAGTTTGTGTTGGCAAGATGGGGAGCTGAGAGATGAGCTGAGGAGCTACAAGTGGTGGGGGCGCGTGTTCCGCAAGTCGCCGAGCTTGGCGACGCGTGCCCGCAGCTCAAACTTGCCACGATCACGACAATTTTTTGGACACTGCGACACTACGAGTTCTCGAAGAAACATCTTCTACACTTGGAGCTAGGCTTGTGGGTGAAGGCGCTCTGTGTGGGGGACATGTGGCTCATCACAAGAATGCTGCGAAGTGAGGTCTTGCATTTCCTTAGCTCGAAAATGGAAGCTGCAGGGGTCTGCAAGACCTGGTGGCAAGCAACAGGGTGTTACCGCTCCTTGTCGCAATTGGCGGGCACGATGCCAGGATGAGAGGAGGAAAATACATAGGGGTCGCCAGAGGGGCAATTTCACAAATTTCACCACTCTACGTGACTTCACGCCACTTGAAGTGACATGAAGTGGCGTGAGGTGACACGAAGTGACTTAAGGTCGTGACACTTGGAGTGACATCAAGTGGCATGCAGGCTCGCTAGATTATACAGATTAAATTGATTAGAGAGATAAGGTAAATTATATAGATAGATGAGATGGATCGGACAGATGGGATAGATAGAATATATAGGTGAGATAGGTTAGATCAGTTACTGTAGAGAGATTCAATAGATTAGCTAGACAAGGTCGATCAGATAGATCGGCTAGATTAGGTAGATTAAGAGACATGACATGACTAGACAAAGTACAAAGGTCAGCAAGATAGATCAGATAGATTGGAGAGGCTAGATAGATTGGACAGGTTAGATAGATTAGAGCAGGTTGATTGATTGGATAGATTGCATAGATTTGATCAGATAGATAAGAGAAGTTTGACCTATTAGATCACAGATCGGTTGGATAGCTTATATATAGATAGGTTCGATAGATTATTGGATAGATTAGATAGGTAGGAGAGATCAGGTAGGCGAATGGAAGTGGAAAGACTATGAAAGACTTAGAAGCATGGACATGTAAGTATAGATAAATATAGATACTCGCGAAGCCTGTGGGTTCCTGTTGTCCTGGTGTCCTTTAGCTGCGCCCCAGACAGTTTGCTGTTCCCCAGACACTCTGCTGTTGGGGCTTTCTCGGCAAAAAGGGCTGGCCAAGATAGCCGTGGCCGCGTCATCGCTTTGTCCGGGTCCGGGTTTGTGTCCTGCTTGGCCGCGCCGTGGACAGGTTTGTCCAGGACGCCACTCCATGCTATTCCACGCAACTTGAAGTGGCATGAAGTTGCAAATTTGTTTGCTACTCCGTTGCGTGCTGTTTGGGAAAATAGTCTTTTGTCTCTTCCATCTTTCCCCCCTTCGTCCGCACACGCGCTGCATGAGCATGGGTGTAGGCCCCGTGTTATGTCCGCTCTAAGGAGTGACAATGGAGGCTTCCTCAGCCAAGGTCCTGGAGGTTGGATCCTGCACTTGGAGCTCATCCACCTAAGCACCCAAGTGACGAGATGCCAAGGCGGGTCAACGCGTATGGAGTGCGGCTTCCGCGAAGACTCGCACGGCTCTTGGATTTTTTTTCCGCTTTCTTTTTGGGACGGCCAGAGTGATGGAGGACGAGTGAATGGATTAACTTGACCGATTATATAGATGTACATAGATAGATAGATAGATAGATAGATAGATGGAGCGTACCACTCCCTCAGGGTTTTGGTTCCACCTGGCTACAACTTTCAGACATCCGAGGTGTCAGGGTGCACGTTCAGATGTCATGTAGGATATGTATTTAGTAACAAGAAGCTACTAGGAACAAAGGGCATCGCTACTAGGAGCAAGGACGCTACTAGGGGCTTGTGGCCTTACTTCTAGGAACAAGAAGCTACTAGGAATGCCAAAAGGTCGACAAATCTCACGTGGAACTGGCCTATTCCAGAACAGAGCTCCGGACTTTTCGGACGAGCGGAGGGGACCTTGTTGAAGCTCTAAGGTTCAGACATTTGGAAGGCCAGGGGAGCTTGAACGCGGCTTTCGTTTATGTGATGGCTGAACATACCCGAAGGGCTGGATGGACCCTTCTAGGCTCTCCTAGCAGCTGGTGGTGGCAGCGAAGTGGCATCGAAGCCACTGGCACTGATACGAGAGCAGTCTCCTTGGCTTCTCGCTTTTACATGGGACAGGGCCAGAGGGGTACAGAATCGCACAGTTGCAGAAAATAGCTCCGTGGACCCGGTCAACTCGACGCAAATGTCACGGCCACTCTGCCGCTGCAAGGTGTGTTGTCACTGGTGCGCCGAAGCCAGAGGCACCGCTCCATCTGATTTGTTTGTGCTGGCTCCGTGCATGTTTTTCCACGGTTTCTGTAAAGGCACGATCTAAGACATTGACACATCCAGCAAGTGCTAACAAATGCATCAGGTTCTCGACGTTTTCGCAAATGTACTCACCAGACTCAGTCGTGACCTGTTTGTCAATACAAACATTGCAAGACTGACAACGAATGAGCCAAACTGCCCTCATATAAGACTTCATATAATGTATAATATGTACTTCTTTCTGTACTGTATATGCATAATTAAAGGTACGCACACCTTTCACACACCCCTCAATTCCTAAGGTTGCTGTGGTTGTCAGCGCTTACATATCTGCATTTGAGCGGCTTCGAAGAACTTCTTCGGTGACCGCAGCTTTTGGATAGGCTCAAAAACTAACCGCATGGGAGAGAAACAGAGTTCGGCTCATTGAGAGACGAGCTCGTTCGGTCAAGGAATGACCAGCGACGAAACAAATAATGTCAATACCTCCGAAGCTGGCGGCGGCTTGGCTTCAATGAGAGACGCAGAAACTAAGTCATGAGTTGAGAAAGAAGTGGTTGCCAAATAGATAGACCGACCATGATAAACTGATAAGCTTGCCAATACATGTTTCACGGAACGGCTTTTTTGGGTCTCACTTTCTATCAGTTTATGGGTCACCAAAAGCAGTGAAAGGATCTGAAGTAGGAGTTTCTTTGGACTCTTCTGATAAGGTCCAGCAGCTCAAGCTGGTTACCAGCGTGCGGGGCTTGGAGACCGGACTGTCATGTGTGAGGCCAAACAGCTTGTGGTGCCCAACTGATTCAACTGAGTAACAGCTCGGGAATGCAAGACTCGTGTGTCGTGCAGGGACGCCAACTAGTCATGGTGGGGACGCCTTCTTCAACAATTGGTAATCCAAACTGTCAGGTCAACACTCTCTCGCAGATAGGGCCCAAACTTGTTTGCCAGCAAATAAGGAGCCAAGAAAGGCTAGGCTTGCATATCTCGAATGTCTACATCCAAGCAACGGCTTTGGGCTTTGGTGGTACTATTTTGAGGAAGCGCTTGAGGGCCTTGAGGCAGAGTCCAAATTGATTTTCATGCCAACAGCACCTGGCCGCGGTCCTTCATTCCTGGACACAGCTGGCCAGGCTAGTAGTAGGTCGCCCTTTAACTTGCTGAGTCCGAGGACAGGAAAGGGGAGAGTGCGTGACAGGAGATGCAAGGAAAGATTCAACCCATACTGAGGGAGCTGACCAGGCTAACCAGGATGGACACACCAGTTAGAGGACTTGCTCCTTAGAGAGGGTACCTCATATTGAGGTGGGCTCACCAGAGTGCACCCCTGAGAGCTATAGACGTCCAAGGGAGTCGGACTTTTGTACGGATCGAAGTCTATCCTATGCCCAGGAACAATGGATGGGAGTTGATCCAGGCGTTGTGTATATCGGCTCTATCATACAGAGCCTCAAAGCGAGACGCAGCGTCTCTCAGCCCTCGGTTTTCCCGTGGCTAATAAGAGTAGAAAGGAATGCAAGAAACGATGTCACTCCACATTGAGGGTGTTCACCAGGCTCATCGGTGTGTCCATCCGGTTAGAGGACAGAAGAGGCGAGACCCTGTGCAAGCTGGAGCCGCTTTCTCATAGGTGGCCTTCGAACAACTCAGGAGGTTTGTTTGCGGGCTTGACCTTAACAACTGCGTCTTGATATGGGACCTCCTGGAGAGGAACTAGAATGCAGTCAGGAACCTTTTGAGTTGCTTGGGATACCTTTTCTTTGCGGTGAAAAGGGACGTAAAGGGCACTCTGAGCTATAGATGTCTCAAAATTTGTACGAATCGAAGTCTATCCTATGACAGGTAGTGGCGGATCGGAGTTGATCCAGGCGTTGTGTATACAGGCTCTATCATATCGAGCCTCAAAGCGAAACTCTGCGTCTCTCAACCTTTGGCTTTCCCGTGGCAATGCTATAGCCCTTTTTCAGGTGAAAACGCTCCGGGCCAAAAGAAAAACGAACACCCCTCGACCTGTGAATGTCCTGCTCAACTCAACCTTTGTCCCCCGGACTGTAAATGTCCTGAACATGTGTTCTTTCCCTGACAAGATTTCGATGGCGGTCGGCGGTCGACAAGACTTTCCATATACACGACAGAAATTACCTTTTAGGTCCGACAAACAAACAAAGGGGTGAAGTCCGACAACCGATTTTTCACGGTTTCTGACGGTTTCTTAATGGTTTTTGACGTTTTTCAACGGGTTTTTGCCTTCTGCTTGTGACTTGTGCTCCTCTTTAGCCTTCCGTTCGGCGGATTTTGGACGGTTTTTGAGCGTTTTTTTTTGTTTTTTTAAATAGGTCTTTGCCTTTTTGCCTTCTGCTTGTGACTCTTTAGCCTTCCGGTCGACGGATTTTGCACTGTTTTTGACAGCTTTTTAAATGGTGCTTGACGGTTTTTTGATTTTTTTTTGCCTTCTGCTTGTGAATTTTGCTCCTCTTTAGCCTTCCGTTCAGTGGTTTTTTGACGGTTTTTGAGCGTTTTTTGTTTTTTAAATAGGTTTTTGCCTTCTGCTGGTGACTCTTTAGCCTTCCGGTCGACGGATTTTGCACTGTTTTAGACAGCTTTTTAATTGGTGCTTGACGTTTTTTTTGATGTTTTTTTGCCTTCTGCTTGTGAATTGTGCTCCTCTTTAGCCTTCCGTTCGATGGTTTTTTGACGGTTTTTCAACGGTTTCTGACGGTCTTAACGGGTTTTTGCCTTCTGCTTGTGAGTTGTGCTCCTCTTTACCCTTCCGTTTCACGGATTTTTGTCAGTTTTTGAGGGACTTTGAATGGTATTGTACGGTTTTTTCATGTTTTTTGCTTTCTGCTTGTGAGTTGTGCTCCTCTTTAGCCTTCCGCTCGACGGTTTTTAAACGACGGTTTTTTGACGGGTTTTTGCCTTCTGCTTGTGCGTTGTTCTTTTTTGTTTAGCCTTCCGTTCGAGGGACTTTTGACCAAACGCGTCTGAAAAGGCCTAAAGAAGATATATAACACATGCCTGAAAAGGACTGAATAAACGCGGATATGAAAAAATACACATCAAATAAGAAAGAAACAACAAAATCGGACAAATAATCTAAAAGGAACCTTGTCGAGTTTAAAACACGGCCTCTTTCTCCTAACGCACGGGCTCCACGCATGGGCCTTGATCAGGCCTTGTGTATTAAGAACCTATCATACCGACCCTCAATGCGAGACTTTGCGCCTCTTTGCCTTCTACTTCCCCATGCGTTTTGGAGGTTGGCTTTCGCCCCCTCCCTTCTCAGTTGTATGCACATCTAGTGCCCTCCAATTGAACACTTAGTGACACCTGCACGACGCATGTGGAGCCATTGATAAGGAATCCCCAAAAGGTCAGCTCCAAAAAAATCCGTCGCAGCCAGCCTACAACTGTTGAGGTGGTTCTTCGAACAATTCCCTTGCAGATCGCATCGTTGGCCGCTGGCTGAGTGCAGACTTGCTGAAGTTTCCTCATCGACTGATCCAGATTCCGAGACGATCGACTGTTCAGGTGGTCCGGCCCAATTAGACCGAGATGATCTTTTAGCTCGTGGGATGACCAACCAGCTCCTTGCCTGTTCTGAAGTCTGTGCCCACAGCACCAGTCACAGGGAGGTGAGGGCCCCTCAGCTTGCTTGGCTGAGGCAAGTGGACGCCTTGGAAGTGCAGGCCCGAATTGCCGAAGAGCTGAGGCCATTGGGCTGCGAGGTCAGTTCCATCAATTTGGCGCGTGAAGGAAACAGCATTTTTTCCTGGCCGCTTTGGACTTCGCCGGCAGGTCCCATATTGTCCGATGGGTTCTTTGCTTCATGTGCACGCTTTGCGTGGTCGGCATCACATCCTTTGGGCTCTTGATATGGCTGATCATCAGTCTGGGAACCCAGCAGATACCACCCCATGTTCCGGCATCAGCATCACACTTTCCTGACTCATTCTTAACAAAGGCTGGGCCAATGCTAGGCGGGGCACTTTTTTGCAAATTGCACATTGTTTACGCATATAGTGGCCTGCGTATGTCTTTGTCACACTTCTAGTTGCTGCTGCGTCATGGTAGCCATAGCCTAGCTTTCATGACGGCATTGTGCAGCAATGTAAAGGAGCACCAAAATTTGCACACTTGCAGGAACCAACAGTTGACCTGTGATTCACCACTTCTTGAATGGGTGACCGTGGTGTACCTTGGATGCGTGAATCAACCAATCAACCGTTGCACCTTGCAGCGTTTGTTGTACAGCCTTTGGCCCGCTTAAGGTATATCATTAAGGTCTACATGCACCTTGTCAGCAGCATTCTCAGTCTTCTTGGCAGAAACGTTGTTGCAGTACTGAGGTTCTTCCTGCACAGAATGGTTATCCGTTGCGTTTGCAAATACGATGCGCGGGAGAACCCGTCGTCACCGCCACCTTGGTATGTGAAGCTGTACAATCTGTCCTTTGGCACAATGACAATGACACCGTTTACATAGATGTACACTCCATGAATTACTTGTGGAAGTGGAAAACCACCTCTTTGCAGAGGAAAATGGGCATCCAAGGAGGCCATTTTCCACTTCCATATATAACTATTTCAGGGAGTGTAGCCATGTGATCATTGTTGAGAAACTAGTCTTGTGTTGAGTGGCAATTCGTCACGCTCGTTTCCCAGGCTGTTCCCAACCTTCGATTTCGTATGGAATATCACTGGCATCGTCTTAGCGGGCACTTCGAAAACTTGTGCAGCAGTGATGCCAGACGTTTACCACTCAATTCTGGCTTTTGCAAGTGGGGCCCCTAGCAAAGCGGACATGAGCGAGAGAAACCAAATTATCCTGCGTCCGGTTACTAGAAGCTTAAGTAGCTACGAGCTTACTCCCTTACTTAATTGAGTAGGCGCCTACTTAATTAAGTAAGGAGGTAGGGCCACGGGTGAGAAAAAAGAAAAAACGGTGTGAAGAAATTCAGCCTAAACGCAATTGCAACGAGTTCTGTTGAGCCAACGAGCCATCAATGCTTCCATTTTGGGTTTTGAGGCTGCGGACTCTTCATCGCAGTTTGGTTCCTCATCAATGCAGTGGGCTTGCAGGTAATCCTGGCTTACATGATGAGGCACGGAATGTTGCATTCAGCAGATCCTTGTCTTGAATGGACTGCTTAGTGCTTTGAGTCTGTCCTACGCCACGTACTTTGGCCATCTTGAGCCCCTTAACGTGCCAAGGAAAATGCTGCCCCAAAGGGCACGATAGAAAAACAGGAGGTTGTCCATTTTGGCCAATACGATTTCGGCATTGCCCTCAGCTTGCGCTCACATTGGTGTCTTTCACCAAAAATCACCGCCTCAGCTGAGGTGACAATCCTTCTTGCTCAATTTGTTTAGAGGACTGGAGCGCACAGAAAGAAATTCGCAAGACAGCATGTGGGCATTGCTACCACACAGCCTGCCCCTTGGCTGCACTAACGTGTGATGTGGCACTTAGACACGGGATCCATGCTGCTTGTTTGGGTTTTCGCGCTCAACATGGCTCACCAAGGTCTCAAGGGTTGGCTCAATGTCAACCGGAATTGCCCACTGTGCCGGACAGACCTCGTGACCGGGCAGGTCATTGGAGCCAGTGAGGAACCTTGATGGTGTCCGGATGGTTTCGCTCCAGAAGTCTGTGGCAATCGAAGCAGGATCCGGGATTCTTCGTCCGTAGTGTACGACCGCACTCCTGAAAGGTTTTCCGCATGATCACTGCACGGATAGAGTCCAATGTATCTGACACTGCATCAGTCATGCAGGGATTTCAAAGCAGAACCTACGATGCCCAAACTTCTGGAACATGTGAGAAAATTTTTCCTTCGGCCCTGGGCCACCTCTTGCAGGCATAAAACAGCAGCTTGACCGGATATACAGTAGCCTTGTAGGGCGACCTCTTTTTGATGTGTTGATGAATCACCAGTTACGTGGCCTAGCCTGCGCATGCCAGACGAAGCCCCGCCTTGTCGGCGTTCGCACTCATGGAAAGCATGAGATGCGCAAACACGCTTGGTTGCAAGCAAGGTTCCTGGGCTTGCCTTCACTTAGTGCGGGCATGGATTAGCTCAAGGCTCAAGGTGGTGAGAAACAAGCACCGCCTAACCACAAGCTCATGCTGAGTTTGGCCGAGAAATTCGACGGTGACATTTGAAATCAGCTAGGCGTGAGCAACAAAACTCAGCTAGAGTGAAGTGTTCTGCGCATGGCGCGGTGATTTCACGGCAGAGACTTTGCCATAACGATCTATGATGTGCAGATTCAGAGACGATCTATGAAGTGTGAGATGTGCTCCTTTGAAAGGACCCCAAGGCCCAAGGACCCCTCGGACCCCTCATTATTTGAATAGACAAGTGGCACTGATGGCATCGATGGCTTTGATGGCTTTCATTCCGAGCCCACGGGGTCACATGTTGCCACATGGGCTGCTTAGGGGGAAGTGCGATCGAACATGATTGTTTCGCCGAGGCCCTTTATGTGTTTTCATTTTTCTCTGGACTTGCTGGGGAACATGCCAACATTCAGAAAGCATCACGCGCGGTGTTCCTCAGTCTGGGACACGAATCAGAATCTGCAGTACGGAAAAGCTCCGAAGAGGGCTTTAGACAGAATAATCTACGAATCTACTGAAATGGGATGCCCCGCTGCTTTGCCCACGAATTGCACAAAACTTAGAGTCCGAAGCGTTTGCCTGCTGTGTGGCAAGGCAGCAAGCCCTCTAAGTTTAGACAGAAAGAGTCAGACCTTCGAACCATGAGAGTGTCCAAGCGGACAGGCACAGATGAACAGCACCATTCATCGCAGCACCATTGCAGCAGCATCACAGCGGATGGTACTTTATTGGACCTGTTAGAATTGAGACGCACGGCTGAAGGGTTCGATGCGACTGGCTTGCCTCCCAGCCGGATGAACTGCAGCAGATGTTGCAACGGAACGGCCATGATTCCCACTTGTAAAGCTGGTTGAGGAGCTTGTATTCAAAAAACAGGGCGATGAATCATTCAGGTGTTATGTCCTTTTGCTCTGTGTGGGGTGATCACGTCCCGTTTTTTTCATTGAGGGTATGACAAACATCATTATATATATATATACATATATTATATATGGCTCGATCACAGCAAGGCCGGTAGTCAGGTAGCCGCTAGCAACGCTAACTACTTACCTGATGTCGTTGATTTGCTGACCTTGGTTATGTTCCTCCTCAGGCTTCATTGAACGTTCTTCTTGCTCTTTGTGGGTTGAGTCATCTCGCTTTGACCCATTGGCTCCATATGAGGACCCCCATATCCATGCATGACGCACATGCATCTTGATTCACGTGAATTCAGAATCAATCTAAACCCTAAGAAGCCAGAATGTTCACTCAGGCGTCATAGCCGTGGTGATCCGTGGTTCCTGTTGGCTGGTCATGAGGCGTCTCACCGATAATTCACGTGCGGCCTTTGGGCCCCGTCACACTGCAAACTTGCCAAAAGAAGGCGCCAGACGAAGGGACTCAACAGGCTCCGGCTCTGACGAAGGCATCCGGCCTGGCGACTTCCTGGAGGTGAATTTGAGGTGAATTTGTAACCGCCTGCCGCCTTCACTTCAAGGTGTTGTTGGTCCATCGTCTCACCCGAAAACACGTCTTGGAGAAGGCTTTTGAGGTCTCGCGCGTCGGCAGGCCTTGCGGCAAGTGCTGCGCCGCTGCCTTGAGCTGCGCCTGGTAGAGGTGGCAGAGCCTGGTCTTGTGGCCTGTCTTTCTTTGGAAAGGGGGATGGCACGGCGAGAGAGAACCAGAACGGGTTGGTGAGCATGCATGATGGTGTCCAAACAGCCTAATTGAGGCAAGCCACGTGTGTGCTGGCCTGATGCACTGCACTAAGCTCCGTGCCCTAAAGCCTGCGACCCAGTGGCATGAGCCATGATAATATTATGAAGTTGTCACCATCATAGGCAAATCGGGACTCCCATGAATTCTTATTCTCAGTCTTTTTCCCTCCCTCCATTGCTTTTGCGTGAAACGGATTGAGAGCAACTTGAGCAAACGAGGATTGGCTTGTGTGATAAACTTGCACAAGCTTGGAGAAAGGTCTTGCAATGACTGAAAGAGTTCCATCCTGGTATTCTGCGATGTGTTGCTGTGGAGGGCATCGACCAATTGCAAGAAAACCGCTGGTGTAGTATGATGGAGAAAGGCTACGGTTGCCTTCCAACCATTTTTCCCTGAAACCTAGGGCATGTGCATGATTTGCTGGAGAGTGCTTACCAGGCTTGGCCTGACCCTTGTTCCCAACATCACGAACCTCAGACAGGCGCCTGTCTGGTGTGTTTTTACGATGTGGACATCGGAGAACCATGTAATTACTGTGTATCCGAATGTATCTCATTTGAAGGTCTTGCAGGCGTGCAAGCAGCTTCGGGCTCTTGGCTCAGTGAGTGGATCGATGAGGCCGGCTCACCAGGCGCTCACCAGGCTCACCATTGACTGAGGTACTCTCTCTTAGCAGCAATGCGGATCACCTTGTGTCATTGCAGTACTTGTCGGAGGTGCCCTGCTTTGACTGATGGCCCTGCAACAATCTATATACATAAAAATTCTTTTTTATTGCCTTTCCTTTGTTTGAAGTTATTTTTCAGCAAAAGACTTCGACCCAAGACTTTACATCTCATCGTCTTTCCTCTGAGCTTTTGCACAGGAGCTCCCAAAGACTTGTTCTCTCCGAGAGCTCACTGTGGGACGATGCAATACCACCTGGAAAGACATTGAGGCACCAACAAGCAAGTCTACCGAAACAGGCTTCAAAGTTGGTTGTTTAGGTGCCAATCTGTGAACCTTGTCTCAGGCGTTGTGCAAGAGCGCAAAGATGTTGCAGCATCTAAGGCTGTGAGATCCTTAGCAAACCGAACCTTTGGTCACAGCGTTTGAATTCGAAGCGTGAACTATGGGTGATTTGGAATGTGGGGTTTCAAGATTGCAGCTTCTTGGCCGAACAGAGACTGAGCCTGTTTAAAGCTTTTCGATCCGCAAACTTCTTTTTTATCAAAGGCATTGCCGAGCAGCATTGCAAAGAGTTTGGCACCAGCTGTCATAGCGAGGCCGCAAAGCTTCATAGAAGTCGGTGGGCCTCTGAACCCTCCGCCACTGGTGCCACTGGCGCGCCTCAAGCACGTGCCTAAGCTGTGTGCACCTCCGCGCCAAGATGCCACCACACATCTCTTCAAAGGAAATGCTCAGCAACATGCTGGGATAGAGTCGGATTCCGCACGTGCACAGGATTCTGCAACTAGGATTCCGCAACTTATTATAGTCAGACTCCGCAACTACCCCAGTTCGGCAACTGTCTTGTTTCTGTAGCTCGGATTCCACAACTACCTTGATTCATGATTTTCCAGTTTCAGATCGCAGTTTCAGAAGCCGGTTTCAGATCAGAATCCGACCGATTAGTATTAGAATCCGGCTCTAACCAACATTTTGCACAATTTTTGTTGATGTTTAGGTGACTTATATATGCAGGCACTTTGCCTGTTTGCTCTCAACTAGCTGGACATTGAGAATTCTTCTGTTTCATTCAGTCTTTTGTTGCATGGCCTAGGCTTAGATGTGTGGACTTTCGAGTTCACTATGGTCGTGCTCACAAGAACCGAGCCTGGCTGACGGATGACATGCAAGAACCCGAGGAACGGCGTGAATTGCAAGGACGGTAGGAGGGCTGAACGGCCAGGTCCCACCTCCCAATGCCGAAAAGAATTCAAGTCATTGACCCTCTCTCTGAGGTTTGGCATCCTGGGTCAGATGAGACATTTGCGAGAACTGCGGGTTGATGGGCAGAAGCTCTTGAGTGATCGCTGCTTTTGGTTCCTGCGTCCAGGGCCTCAGGATGCCGCCAGACTTCCCCTGCCCCCAAAACAGAGTGGTTGGTTTCTGCTGTCCAATCCTTGACGGAAGTTTCTGTCCAGTGCACTCCTTTCCGAAACTTGCACTGTTTCCTTTATTTGCCCATTGCCGCTATCGCCCTTTGCTTTCCACGAAGGTCGGCACCACTTTCGCTTGCGCCTGCTGCACTTCAGCGGTTGCCGCCCGATGTGCTGCTTGGTGATGACATGCCAGCTTGGTTTTGGAACAAGACGCAGGTTTTGCAAAGCAGAATTTCTTTGTATATAACGTTGAGAATGTTGAGAACCATTATAGTTACAGTATATAGATGTTATACATATTAATGCGTGTGGTCGTCGTTCTACTGGTGCTGGATTTTGTGAGCATTGCTTTGCTTTGCTTCGTTGCGAGGTGGTGAAAGTGTTTTTGGCTTGTTACATCTTTGTGAAGGTTGGGAGCTTATGATTTTCATCAGCCACTACTTTTCCCGATGCTTCCGAGCGGAATTGGGTTGCATTTTGTGGACTTGTCTCCCTGTAGGCCTGTAGATATCCATTCAAACGCCTTTGCTGCCAAGGCCTCGAGTCAATCAGGCTTCCAACGATCATCGTTGGACAGTGGGCATCCCGGCGCTTCTTTTGCATCAAAGCAATCGTCCTCGGATCATTGTTTTGGATCATTGTTTTCCCCAGCCAATGGACACGCGTAGCGCTTAAAAAACGATTCGATGTGGGATACTGCGACGTGACTGTAACTGGTTCCTCGAAAAGACGCGGCATGTTTAACATGTTTGGTTTTTAGACTTTTATCGTTAATACCAGTCACAGCTTGCCTTAGGACAGACGGACTTGCGGGGATGTTTTGAGGCACTGGTCCCAGTTGCACTTGAGGTCTGAGAGGAGGCTCGGAGTTGCTGGGGCCAATCGCAGCTTGGCGATATTCATCTAATTTTGTGAATGAGCATGTTTGGCCTTTGGATGTGTTTCACGGCGGCCGGACAGGCCTTGAGCATTTGGCTCCAACGGTAGCAAATAGTGTGCGCATTCCGCTTCCTTCGATCTTTCGTAGGTTTTCGGGTGCCGCTATTTACAGTGGCAGCGGAGCCTCAGGTTCCGTGGGCCCGTGCGCGACTTCGCTTGGCTTCGCTTGGTGGTGGCGCTTCTTTGGACTACGCCAGTCCTACGACTTCGACTTGCTGGTCTTTGGCCTTGGCTTGAGGTCATTGACCTGGGACTACGTCTTCTCGGTGGACTTCTTTGCCCTTGTGGACGACTTCGCCCTGACGGTGGACTACGACCGAACTTTTTCACGGAGGTCACTCTGACGGACTTCCTTGGCGGCGTAAAGCCTCTCCCTCGGCCAAGGGATAGAAGGTTGCCTGGTGGTGGACTACATCCTCGTGGAGCTCATGACGGACGAGAAGAAGGATGACCGGGGCTTCGATAGCTACATACCGGTCTGGGACGGCAGAAGCGAGACCCTCAGAGAGTTCAAGAAGGCCGTCCAATGGTGGTTGCACTCGATCGACCTGGAGAAGACCACCTCCTACAACTTGGCCGCAAGGTTTGCTATGCGGCAGAAGGGCAGCGCAAAGTTGAGAGCTTTGGAGTTTGATCCAAAAGAGCTCGAGTACATCCCCGCCGAGAAGGTGAAGGATGATGAGACTGATGAGATGGTTGAGTTGACACCTGCGGTCTACGACGCTGGAATCCAGAAGATCCTGGCCTCCTGGGATGACATGGTTGGGAGGTCACAGACTGACCGCAAAGGTGAGCTTCGTGAGAAGTACTACCTTCAGCTTCGCCGTGGAGGTAGTGAAAGCATACCGAACTTTGCACTTCGGTATAGAACGCTGGTTGGAGAGATGAAGGCCGAAGGCATCATGGTGGACCCCAGCGAGCAGGCATGGTTCTTCAAGCAGAAGCTCGCCCTCACAGAGTTGCAGCGGCAGATGCTGGAGACGACTTTGGGGGTAGAGACGGAGGACTACGGTGCCTGTGAGAGGGAGGCTGTTCGCCTCTTCAAGCGAGTCCATTTTGGACATGGGCATGGACCTGGACATGGAGGACCACAACATGGCGGTCATGGAAACTTCGCTAAGCGACCTACTTCCTTGACGTCTTCTACCTTGTCCCGGTTCCGGAAGAGCTTTCCCTCAACTACTTCGTCTTCAAGCTCTACATGGCGGCGTGGCGGCGGAAAAGGCTTTGGCGGCTCAGTCAATGTCACGGAGTATGAGGACGAGGACCCGCCTGAGTATGAGGCCTTTGAAGCAGAAGAACACCCTGCCGAAGGTGAAGACGATGGTGGTGGAGACTCTGAGAGTCTTGGCGGCTTTGAGGGGCTTCAACAAACCCTTGAGGCCATGGCGACGGAGCTGGATGAGTTGGCTGATGGTTCACAGGCTGATGATGACCTGGCGGCCATTGAGGAACAAGTTGAAGGAGCTGTGGAAGCATTGGTGACCCTTCGTGAAGCGAGGTCACAAATCAATGCCTTGAAGAGAGATCGTGGATTTCGCGGACCTGGAACTTCGAGCTTCAAAGGTGGAAAGGGCCGTGGAAAAAAAGGCTCAACGGGTGCAAAGGACGGCAAGTGCTTTGCGTGTGGCCAGACTGGTCACTGGCAGGGAGACCCAGAATGTCCTGCTGGTGGCAAGAGCTCAGCCAAAGGGAAACAACTTCCGAAGTTTCCCAAACCCATGCACAAGACAGGAGCTTCATCGTCGACTACCTCTCCCAAGTCTTCGACCTACCGCAATGAGGCCAATGCAGCGGAGGTGAACGTGGTCGACCTCCTGGAGGGTGCAAACAACAACGTGTCCTTCGACCTGGAGCCGACGGTCCATGAGATCAACGTGGTTTCAACGCTCTCGGAGGCTTTGACAGCAAGTGCAGCTGGACCTCCGGAGCTGAGCTTGGACAAGATGTACGTTGCAGCTCTTGACTCTGCATGCAACAGGAGCTGTGCTGGTGAAGAATGGATCAAGACCATGAAGGCAGCGCTGAACCATGCGCCTCCTGCGATCAAGAACCTGATCATGGAGAAGCCGGTGAGAGACTACTTCAGATTCGGCAATGGCGGAATCTTAGAGAGTCAGAAGCGCATCAGGCTGCCGATTGTCGTGAAAAACCAAGTAGTGCTTCTTTGGCTAGCCGCCATTCCTTGCGATTCACTAGGTTGCCTGCTGGGGAAGGACTTCCTCGAGAGCTTGGGGGCTACTTTGAACTTCTCTTCAAAGAAACTCCAGTTGAAGTACCTCACTGAAGAATGGACACCCCTGAGCAAGATGAAAGCAGGTCATTTTTCTTTGAACCTCCTCCCAAAACCCTTGACCTCGTGGCCGACGCTTGGACCTCTCGCGTGGCATGTCGTAGGTGTCGGAGGTTGCTGTGAGGTTCAATGTGAAGGTCGAGTCGCATGGAAGGCACACAATCGACTAGTTGATCGTTCGACTGACGTTGATGGTGACTTGAACATGGTTGTGCACTACATCCCGGAGTTCTTCAGCTCAAGCTCGTCCTGGCAGCTCGAAGATGATGCCCAATCTCTTCGAGATCTCCCCGACCGCTTCGCGATGGCAACGTCTTCTGCTGCGGATGGCTGCCAGGAGGACTTGGCATTGGAAGGGAGTGATGCTGTGGTTGGTGCAACGTCCATTCCTGCGCTTCCTGCCCGTGCCCTTGCCGGTGGTCGCGAATGCGGAGGAGTGGAAGACCCAGCTCAAGGACATGGTGCGACGCAAGGTGTGGCCGAAGCGATGGTTGCCGAAGGCCCAGGAGGTGATGAGTCTTCTGCACCTTCAAGAGGCTCAGACGCTCCGCAACCGCATGGGCTTGGAGGAGGCGTTCATGGAAGACGAGGCCGTGATGTTCGGGATCAAGGCACTGAAGAAACCTCCCCGTGCTCGGAAGCAAGCTGCACTAGTTCAGGCTACGCACCAAGCAATCGCAGAGCTGGATGGCCGGAAGGAAGAACTCGCCAGAGAGCTTCTCGGACCCCGAGGCGGGATGCCTCGCAACAAGGCAGACCTAGTCAAGCTGGCGGTTCTCCTGAACGTGACCGTGGACCCCAAGGACACCAACGACCAGTTGAAGGCCAAGTGCAAGCCGATGGTGGACGTTCTGATGGGGAAAGGTTTTGGCTCGAGCCCAGAGAGATCCAAAGGATCCGCAGAAGGCAGCGACCTCAAAGGACCAATGACTGGCTCGAAAGCGATGGAAGTATCAGCACCAACAGGACCAACTGCACAAGCCCCAACTTTGAGTCATCTCCAAGTACCTTGGGGACTCCCAATGAACCCGGATGGGCAGGTCCACTTCGACCACTTCAACCCCCAGACCCGTTCAGTTCAGGAAGGTTGGGTACTCACTCCTCAGTTCTACCAGCTGAACGAGACAGACGATCAGATGCTGTGAAGCTTTCAGTTGGCACCCTGGGGAAAGCAGCCTTCAAGGACTTGAAGAGTGGTGCACGCCTGGCAGTTCGAGATGGCGTCATGAAGGCCAGACGGATGAGAGATAAGATGGGTGCTCCAGTTAGCTATCTCAATGAGATCATGGAGGCAGAGTACGTCGACTTCATCGACAAGGTGGCCAGTGGTCAGGAGGCCGAAGTGTTCATGGCGGACCTCCACATGCCGCCTCTGCCTGCCAGTCGGTTTGACTGCATTCGCTTGCCCATCTCAGGACTTCGAGAACAACTTCAACGACCAAGCCGACTTCATCGACGGTTGACTGATGAGTGGCGTTTTGGCCACATCAATGGATGGATCTGCAGAGACCACTACTGCCCCAGGAGGATCCTCTTCCACCCGTCGACGGCGACTGTGCCCAGGTTCTTTCCCAATGAGGCATTCACTGGTCTGCGAAGATCCGTGTTCTGCGATGAGGAGGGCAACATCAACTTTGTCCGGAATGACAACTTCAAGGACAGCTGGAACACTCAGAGTCATGTTCACAGTCAAGTGGCAGTTCAAGGAGAGACCTGGCTTGAGGTCAAGCAAGAGTGGATTGAACATGCGTATCCACCATGGTCATGGGAGCAGTTCAGCTTTCCGATAAGGACTGCAGTCATGCTTGGACAACAAGGCTCTCATGATTGTCAGAATGGTGACAAGTTCTTCGTTGGTTTCGACACCATGAACCAGAAGGGCATGCTTCCTGTGGATAGCACAGTGCCGATCTCTTCATGGATTCGCACCGCTGAGGATGGTTGGATGATGCTGGAAGAAAAGGTACTTCATCGAGACCGAGCTGTTCATCGAGTACCTCATGGAAGCTTGATCAAGTCGGTGGAGGTCTACGTGCAGCTTCATCACAACACTCTTCGAGAAGATCCTCACCGGTACCCCATGATTGGAGAGCTCTACACGGAGACTGAACCGGTGTCGGCCTGTGCGATTCGGAAAGGTCATGCGATCATGCAGTCTATCACCCTGAAGACTGGCTACGACTTGCTGAAGGTCAGTGATCGCAGAAGGGCAAACATGGACATCAGGAACAACAGACCTTTCTGCCTGATGATCGCCTTTCCTTGCAGTGTCTGGTCCAACCTCATCAACATGACGACAAGAGGTGACCCAGTGAAGATAGCCCGACTTGCCAAGAGGAGGAAGTATGAGAGGATCTTGGTGGAATATGCTGCGATGAAGGCTGTGGAACAGGTCCTCTCCGGGAACCACTTCATCCTGGAGAACCCGGCGACTTCAGCGGCCTGGAGATTGGTTGGCAAGCTTCGCAAGCTGGTTGAGAATGCGAAGGACCTGGACCTCTACCACGTCCGAGTCGACCAATGTGCTTTCGGGTTGCGAGGAGCTGGAGGAGGACTTCACTACAAGCCGACCACCTTCCTCACGTCTTCGAAGGAGGTTGCAGCAGCTTTGGATGGGTTCAGGTGCGACCGACGACATCACCATGAAGCAGTGATTGGTGGCAACAAGGTGACACGCCTTGCAGGTCACTATCCACCCCTTCTCGCTGAAACTCTGCTTGAAGGCATCGAGCGAGAATGGTCAATGCTTGAGATCAATGTCATTGAGGAGTTGGACGACGAGAACCCAGGCGGTGGAGATGATGGTGGTGAAGATGATGGAGGACCCCCCGGACCTTCAGATGAACCGGATGGCCATGATGGAGACGACCATGATGGCAATGGGGACCACTTCATGCTGGACAACCCGGCCGAGCAGGAAGATGAGGATGACGATGTGGTGGTGTCTGGTGATGACAAGCCCACAGCAGGTGATCGCAAGATGGCAAAGCATCTTCATGAGGTGACAGGCCATCGACCACCACTTCGCCTGGCTCGAGCTTTGCTGATCACAGGGGCAGATCCGATGTTGATCAAGGCTGCAAAGGAGCATAAGTGCGAGATCTGTCATGAGACCAAGCGGCCTGGAACCAGAAGGCCAGCTAGCTTGCCTCGAGTCAGGAACTTCAACGACCACCTCTATGCCGACCTGATCTCCGTCCATGACAGCCATGGTGAGACATACTGGATTGCTCATGCCGTTGATGCCGCTTCCAGGTACCAAGTTGCCAAGGTGCTGGAAGAGAAGAGCGGGCTGGAAGTCATCAAGTTCTTCCAGGAGTGTTGGTTCAATACCCTCGGCATCCCCTCACAGATCACCACTGATCTTGGCAGAGAGTTTACGGCGGCAGTGGTTCAGCACACCATGGACACGCACGACGTGGTTTTGCACCATGTGCCGGTGGGCGCGCCATGGCAAAACGGCATAGCAGAGAGAGCCGGAGGCTCACTGAAGGCAGTTCTCCGGGCCACAATCCATGAGGCGGTGGCAGCTGGCATGGATGACATGCGGACCGCCCTGGCTTCAGCTCTGGAGGCCGTCAACAACGACGTGGATGGCACAGGGTTCTCTCCGAGTCAGATGGTTCTTGGACGACAACCTCGACTTGTTGGAGAAGCTGGTCCTTCTGACCTTCGAACCCGACTTGCTGCTCACAGCATGGCCTTGGAGACCCCCTCGTTCTCACGCTTGGTGGCGATGAGAGAAGTGGCTAAGCTGGCCATGGTACGACTTCACTACAGCCGAGCTTTGATGAGCGCTTCAGTTGCACGTGCTCGCAACCAGGTGGATTGGAACCAGTTTTCTGTTGGAGACGTGGTCTACTTCTACCGTGAGCAGAAGCCCACAAGCAAGAAGATGAAGATCGTGCAGAGAAGACGGCTGGAGTTGAAGAAGTGGCACGGTCCTGGAGTTCTTTTGTCTTTGGAAGGCAAAGAGATGCCCAATGCTGGGTATGTTGCCTACTGTGGCAATGTGACCAAGGTTGCCATGGAACACCTTCGTCATGCAAGTGCTTTGGAAAGACTCGTTGCCACAGATTGGGATGCAATAGTTGAGGATGTCATCAACGCTGTGGATGACAAACGCCCTGATGACCAACAAGAAGGACTTGGAATTGGTGAGGAGAGCTATGAGCCAACAGAGCCGCCGGAGGAGCCTCCAGAAGTTCAGCCTGAGCTTCTTGAGCAGACACCTACGCCTGCGGTGGTTTATCCTTTCCCTTACCCAGCGATGATGCCTGCTTTGGCGCAAAGTGCCCCTTGTTCGAGCTTTTCATCGCTTCCTTCGAGATTGGCATCAAGGAGACAGTCAACAGAACAGGCTGGTGTACCTTTGCCTACGGTTGGTGAGGACGCTTCACCAGAGCCTGATGGTCAACGACCTGGACTTCTTGGAGGAGATCCGACTTCCGACCAAGGAGCAGCTGGTGATGACCTACAACCTCTTCTACCTCAACAGGCAGCGGATGATGGACTTCATCACGCACAAGTTCTTCCAGTCGCGGATGGTGGTGCAGCTGCAGCTGAACTACAACCTGGAGTCCCTGCAGGAGAGACGCCTGCAGAATATGGACGGCGGCTGGAGCAAGCACAAGGTGCTGTGAGAAGAGCACTGTCCGAGCCAACGGACGACAGACAGGCCGTTCGGAGGAGGATCATGGAGCCGCTTCGACTTGGTGGCAAAGCGATCGATGTCCTCTCAGCAGAGCTGAGACATCCACTTCTTGAGGCAGTCAACAAAGCCCAGGAGGACATAGAGAACGGACATCATGGAGAAGATGATCACGGCAGCTGGGATGGAAGATGGTCTCGCCCGACCGCACGACAGGTTGAGATCGTCAAGAAGCTTCAGATGACATGGCCTAGTGGTTCCAACAGTGACACCAAGGAGGCTTTGACTACTGCTGCTCACGGACGTGAACTCAAATGGTCAGAGATGGACGAAGACACAAGACAGGCCTTCCGCGTTGCAGCGGCTGACCAGTGGAACAAGTGGCTGGAAAATGAGGCTGTGACTGTCTTGAACCCTGAGGAATCCAGAGCAGTAGAACAGGAGCTGGAGATGAAAGGCGAGCTTGAGCGGATTATGAACCCCCGCTTCATCTTGGTGGACAAGAACTCCAAGCTTCGCTCTCCAGAGTGCCCGCTTCCTTTGAAGGCCAATGCACGAATCATCGTCCCAGGATTTCGTGATCTTGCCAACCTGAATGGTGAACTTCGAACTGACTCACCGACAGCTTCAAGGATAGCACAGCATGTGGTGTGTTGTGTTTGTGCCTCGAACCCTGACTGGTGTTTGTTGAGCGCTGATGTCAGAGCAGCTTTTCTCAAAGGAGATCCCTACGTGCAGAGACAGCTGTACATCCGTGGGACCAACCCCAAGACAGGTCCGACGATTGGGATTCCGACTGGTTGCGTTGCCAAAGTTCTCAAAGGCATTTTTGGCCTAGCTGATGCCCCAAGAGAGTGGTACTTGCGGCTGGCTCGAGAGCTTGGTGAGGATGGCTGGGTTCGCTCGAGCTTGGACTTGGCATTGTGGCTGAGGTTTGACACAACAGGTGCTTTGACAGGCATCTTGGCAGCTCATGTCGACGACTTGCTCATGAGTGGTGACAAGGAGGCTGAAGCTTCGCTGAGCCGGTTGGGAGAAAGGATCGGTTTTGGATCCATGGATGCTCCGCCATTCAGCTGGTGTGGCAAAACCTTCACTCGTGAACCTGACGGAAGAGTCACTTTGACCATGGTAAGGTACCACGAGAACCTCACTGGAATGCAGATGCCTCGACAAAGGCGCAAAGATGTGGCAAGCTTGCTGAATGCCGCAGAAGTGAGGAAGCTCAAAGGTGTTTTAGGAGCCTTGCAGTGGCTTGTTGCACAGCTGAGATTCGACCTCTCTTTCTCTGTAAGCAGTCTTCAGTCAGAGCGACCGACAGTTGGCACAGTGCTTCGAGTGAACAAGGTGGTCGAGGAGGCCAAGAGGACCAAGGACTTCACCTTGCAGTTCAAGCCGGTCAGCTACGCCCATGGTGGCATCATGGTTGTGACCGATGCCGCACTCGGCAATGTGACCGCCAATGGTTGCACGGACGCCATGCCGACCGAGAAGGTGCACTCCCAGTCATGCTACGCAGTGTTGCTGGCAGACGAGCAGATGATGTTGGGAAAGCCTGGCAGCTTCAACCTGCTCGACTTCAGGAGTCACCGACTTCAGAGAGTGTGTCGCAGTCCCTACGCGGCAGAAACGCTTGGCGCTGAAGAAGGTCTAGACGCAGGAGAACTGTGTCGCGGCTTCATAGCCGAGCTGCGCAAAATCGACATCGCATGTCGAACAGGACATTTCAATGTCTGCGCTGTGAGCCTCATCGGAGTCACCGATGCGAAAGATACCTATGATCGTCTTACACAAGACACTGGGTTTGGCTCGCAGAAAAGCCTTGCTTTCAGCCTTGCAGCTCTTCGTCAACAACTACGACGGCCATGTACTGGCTACAGGTGGACAAGCACCACAAACCTCTTTGTGGATGCTGGCACGAAGCTGATGGACAACTCAGCGCTGCGAGAGACATTGCAGAAGGAAGAGTGGTCAATCGAGTACAACGAGAGTTTCACCAAACAGACCAAGAAGGCTGTGAAGACAGCGGTGGCTGTTGTTGAGATGCCCGGACGGGCAGTTCAGGACAGAGACAAGTCCTTGATGGAGCACGTCCTCATGGTGGCAGAGCAGAATGGGTGGCACTACAAAGATGGAACTCCCATCCACGTGGCCCATGGAGCGATGAGTTACCGAAGCCCAGCTCCCCGGTTTGATGTGAACAAGCATCAGTACCGGACTTCGGTTGCCTGCTACAAGAGGAGTGATGGCCAGCACGAGTGGAGGATCCTTGAGGAGAAAGCCGACCTGAAGAAGATGGCAAACCTCCAGGCGAAGATGGAAGATCGATGCCAAAGGCTGGTATCCTTTTTCACTTGTGCGGATCCAAAGGCCACATAAAATAGAAGGCATGTGAATGAGCATGTTTGGCCTTTGGATGTGTTTCACGGCGGCCGGACAGGCCTTGAGCATTTGGCTCCAACGGTAGCAAATAGTGTGCGCATTCCGCTTCCTTCGATCTTTCGTAGGTTTTCGGGTGCCGCTATTTACAAATTTTGTATAGATGCCCTGGATAGCGACATGTGCCTGCAACGTCAATTAAAGGACAGCACATAATATTGTTGTCTTGCATTCTGATTCTTTTGCGCAAGTGTTTGAGTTCAGTCACCAAGAATCATAATTGGAGCAGTGCCAGAGGCTGGTGCCAGGGTTTGCGCTGTGCCTGGCTACGTGAGTTTTCGGTCGATGCCTGGCCATCCTTGGAGGACAACGGATTGTCATCAGATTTGTCTGATGGTCCTGCGATGTTGTGACATGTTAGGACTCTGGTGTGCAGATGCTGGTTGCACCTGGGCTGCTCAAACTGTTAAACTACTTCTCAGACCGTTTCCAGCAGATCAATGTGTTGTGATCAAAGGCACGGTGCCCACAGCTGCGAGCCCTTTGGCTGCGACAGGCCTAGTAGCTTCTTGTTCCCGGTGTTTCCAAGTCCGTTGTTTTTCCGCTTTTGCCCGGCAGCCTCGCAGCGCAGGCCCCTCGGCTGTCGGATGATGCAGTGACTTATGCAGCTGGACTCGAGAAGCTGAAGAGCCTCTCCCTGGCCTCTGCAGCAGGCGAAGCGGCAAAGCATCAGAGTGAAGCTAAGCAATGCGGGTAGAGGGGAACTTTGTGACCAATCGGACATATGTTCAAAGTTCAAGGATATCCATAGTCGTAAAGTATGGCGAAGTGGCGAGCAAGTGGAGAGTGGAGAGCTTGCTTTTGTTCTCGGTGGCGAGTGGAAGCACCGTTCCCACGACTTGAAAGGCCTCACTGATCGCTGTTTGCAAGAGCTACTTGGATCACGGCTGCGGTCTTTAGATCTGAGCTGCTGCAACTTGGCAGAACACATGCAGTGCGGAAGGAGTGCGGACTTCCTGTTGGTACGATTTCTGAGTTTGTATTTTGAGTTTGTATTCTTGTCCAGGTTATCCCTGCTTTTTTTGCAAGTTGCCAGACAGCATTTTTTGAGGCAGACAGCTGACGGAGGGAGCTGCGTCGCTCTCGGTTTACTTTGGTGTGAAACCACTTGAACTGGAAGCGAAGATCCATGCTTCTATGTCCTTTCGTTTTTTTTTTTGACCCATTCTGTCCAGTCAAGCATGTGGGTTGTGGGGACATAATGACACCAGTCACCAGCAGCACTAGCACTGCAAGCAACACTCTCCGGAAACGGCTTTTGCATGCTTTTGCTTTGTTGTGCATTGATGTTTGGCAGCTGCTACTGTAGGTATATACATCCATCAGCTTTTTGTTGTCCTTATTCTTGCACTTTGCGTCCGCCAACTTCCTGCCGCTGGCGTTGTTTTGGACAAAAACGCATGCATGCACATTGGACAAAGCTACAATGCCACAAAAGCAAACAGATGTCCATTGAAAAAACGCCTCGCCGGGTGTGTCACCTATGATTCCTTGCTAAAAGGTGCAATCACAGTTCCTGAGCAAGGAGAGAGGAGAACTTGCAGGGGGCAGGCTTCATGCCAGATGCCAAAGACACATCACCAAGGCAGAAAGATACAAACACAAGGAAGGGAACCCAAAACAGCTCTGTGCCAACAAAAGGCCAATGCAGGAAGACACAACCTGGACGCCTTAGTCAAATGAAACACCGATTGTAATTAATGGAAACACAGTGGTAGTCTCACTCACAGTCTGCAGCTGGCTCTCTCGCTGCCTCTACGAGGCAAATGGATGGATGGATGGATGGACGGATAGATAGGTAGATCGTCTGCAACCACGAAAGGCGACACCCAATGGGGCACAGAAAGGCACACCATCCAACCCTCATCCCATCCGTATCAACAAGACGACATGGAGGGTTTCTTCGAACAAGGCCCAGGCATTGGCTTGTCATGTGGCACCTGGACTCTTGAGGTGGCAGAGTTTGCAAGCAAGGCAGGGGCCTTCATTCGTTGGGTTTGTTTCATTGGAATTGGAGTGGGCAAAGTTTGTGCACTATGCAGTGGGTTGTTGCCAAGAGGTGGCAGACACTAGCGGCCCTCAGCTCCAATCTTTACAGCTGCTTGACATTGGGGGAGGAGGAGTCGAGGAGAGGGCTGATGTGATGCGGACCCATCAAGACTTGGACAAGGTGTGCAGTTGAGATGTTTGGGTTGCATGTGGTTCACTGAGTCACTGAGGCTGGAAGGTTGCCCTAATCTGGGCCGTGCAGCTGCAGAAGCGCTCTTGGGTTGCGGCTCATTGTTGAGGCTGGGACGCTCAGATCGCCTGTCAGCAGCAGTCCATCGTTTCTTGAAGTCTGACCTTCTCTGATTTGGCGGAATGGGCGGGAGGAATTGATGGCATCAGCTTGTTGCCAACCTAAGATGTTGTTTGCACTAGCGCGTAATACAAGCTCTTTTGGCTCAGCTGACCGGCCGTGAACGCCCCATGAGGTGCAGTCTTCGAAGCTGCCGGCCGTTACCTGTGGCGTCTGTCGTGTGGGAGGACCACATAGATCAACACCGCCACAAAGTGATGGAATGAAACGGAATCCATGGATGTCATGTCGGTGTGAAGTGTTTTTGGTCACCAATGTCACCCGACCAACTTGCAGCCATTTTCCGAGGGTGTTGGTGGCGAGCTGAAAAACGCAAGTGAGCGCAAGACAGACATGGCATGAAATTGCTGTGAGCGCCAAATGCCCACAAAGCCAATGAGAGGGTGGTTTCGCCATAGAGCTCGCCATGATGGAGCTCATAAACCAGAGCAGGAACTAGACATGCTACGACCACTGTTGAGGGGGAGTGCAGACTCGCGTCATAGCTCTTTAGCGAGATGTGTCGTTATCGATGCTTGCTGGTGGCCTCCGTCGCCGCCTGCTTGGCGCTCGACTCAATGCAGGGCCCTTGGAACTGAGCGGCTTTTGAATGGCCTTCTAGGCTTTGAAATCTGGAAAGGAGGAGTGCAGCCAAGGTTGATGATCAATAGACCTATATATATACATATAATTTTCTAGATTGTTCTAGATTCCTGCTTTCAATCTCAACCCTTTTGGTGCTACAGATTTGGTATTTGCCCAAGTGATTCAGGTTCCCGGCGTTTGCTGGGGCTTCCGCTAAGCAACGGCAGTGCAGAGCTGTCATGTTGGCCAGCGATGAAGAGGCCTTGGCGGAGACCAGAGCCACCATAGGTAGCCTGGCACTTTTGAGCAGTTTTTGGTCGATGCCGAACCTGTCATATTGTCAGCAAGGGGATCCGGATGTCCTTATATCACAGTGGGGGCATGAAGGGCAAAGAGCTGTTGTTGCATAGGGCGTTGGAACCATCACATGGCTTTTCAACCTGCAGCAAGATCCAAGCTCTGCATCCAAATTTGCAACTAACCACTCCTGCAATTCAGCGTCATGATGCATCATGACATCAGTATTGGGGCAGCGGAGTTGTGCCTTGCAAGGGTTAAATGCCTTGTTTGGTTGCTCCCCAGCCCTACGGGATGATTGCTTTCAGCTCTGGTTCTGCTACCGTTTAGTGCTTCCAATGAGGCCAGCCTCCTGAACCATGCGGATGCTGATGTGTATCGCCAGGCATGCAACGTAACAGCTTCATCCCAGTGGCTGTTGAGTGTTCAGTCCTGACGATGAACACGCCAAGGATCCACAAGGCGCAATTGCAGCCAGAATGACAACAACCATATACTATACAAACAAAAAATCACATACATCAACATCAGACAAACGACTGGAACTATGACCGCGCCCGATACAACAGCCACACCTTCATTGACTCTCTTAGAGAGAGCGCTCAGCCCCCCAACAGGAATGCAACTGAAGCCGAGGATTGAACTCCAAACGGTATGTTTGTCCGTCGAGTCCAAAGGCTTCAAGCACCAGCTGGACACCCTTTCGCTCGCCCAAAAGGAACGCACGTGACGCACGTGTCATGTTTTCCTTCGTCGCACCGGGGGGGCACAGCAACGTGACCCGCGTGCTGTGGATGTCAAGGCAGACTGTTGCAGCAACTGGAGGATGGCACCTCAGCTGCAACGGACACGTGGCATTGCATGCGGTTTTCTGTAGGGTTCTCCCTGGTTGTTTCGAGACGTTTCGATCAGCTTTGCAGAAGCCCTTAAAAGTTGAAGAATTGAGTTTCAGGAATGGAAGGGGACGTTGGTCGTTTGCGAGCTCAAGCATTGAACCTGAAGTGGCAAGCCTTGGTTGGAGAGGAGGCAGATGAGGCCTGAGTTTGTGGGTGTTCTGGCAATTCAGGCTCAGGGCTGCGTTTTGACTTCATATGCGCAGCTCACCAGTAAGAAAGATTGAGCAGGAAGTTCCGAAATGGCAGGTTTCATGTATGTATATATCTCTGACGTTCGGTCGCTCGGGCGCGGCGTGAGCGGCGCCGCGAGCTGCGTGTCCGGCCGCGAGGCGGCTCAAGTCTCTGAAAAGGGGCGAGCAAGGTCAGCCGCCCTCCTAATGGGTCGAGATGATGTCCATCTCCGCAAAAGCCGACGACCAAGGTCGAGATGAGAAGGGTTCAAATCGATAGGAATACCAAACATAGGGGTATGGATACCAAGACCAAGCAAAACACCCGAGGGAACCCGAGCAAAAATCGACGTCCAACTGACGACAGAGATCGGTAAGAGCAACCCTAACCATATCGACCATGGTGGTGACCGTCGGTCGAACAAAAAGGTCCTGTACCTGCCTCATGACTCTGCGGCCTCCAACTTCTTCAAAGGGAAACAAGCCGGAGTCAACGAAAGCGTAAAGAAAAACGAATTCGAGAAAGCTACAAACGGTTCTACGGCTCTCAGGACCTCCGCAGCGGCGCAGCCAGCCGACCAGCTCCTTGTAGAAAGCGGGCGGCAAACGGCCTGGCTCCACCTGAAGGTCTCCTGTCGTCACCAGTGCAGTCGTCAGGGTAGGTGGAAGTCCTGAGTCGGTGTCACTGGAAATGAATATCCCTCCAATAGTGCATATTAAAATCCTAGGGGTCAACCCCAGGAAAAAATAAGAATGTTTTTTTGTTTTTCGCTGGCGCCCAGGAAAATAATACGACACCCAAAAATCCCAAAACTTGCTACCCCAAAAAATTAACCCTTGGCACAAGGATTTTAATAAGCATGTTGAAATAACATACCAGCAAAAATGAGGACCACATGGTAGCTCAGGCCCGGAATTTAATAATGCATGTATCCGGAATGTAGTCATGCATGTTTTCCCAGTCTGTGAGTGCTTGCACGGGGTCAAGGTCTAATTTTAATACAAAAGACGCTACTAGGGGCTCTTGGCCTTATTACTAGAGTACTGGGAACAAGAAGCGACTAGGGGCTCCTGGCCTTACTATTTTGGGACTTTGACCGAGGACCCGATGACCCGTTTCGATTGTCCGACCTCGGTGTATGGCCGTAGCTTTTTAAGAACATGCATGTCCTTCTATAATCATATCATGGTGCCTCAAAAATGCCAGGCCAATACTCAACCAGGAAATGACCAGCCGGGCCCCTGAACACACAAGACATGACACAGTGATAAAGTGGTTTGTACATGTTTGGGGGACATCAAAAGTGATGCCATGACTGCAAACCTCTCTTGCATTGTTGGGTGTGTGGGTGGGCTTCTCGCCGCTTTCCTTTGGGTGATGATGGCATGCGCTTGTCCTGGACCAGTGGTCTACATTTCTTGTCCGGAAGGAAAAAAATACAAACTTTGGGGGGACATGTGTGGGGATTTGACGTCCATACTAGGATTTAAATAAGCCCATGAATTCAGTATCAGATGTGATCATGTAGGTTGGGGCCAGGACTATAATAAAACGTCGGCCCCAGGACTATATTAAAACGTCGGCCCGAGGATTTTAATACGACAGAATCTCATTGAAAAAAAAGTCAGCCCCGACCTTGGCACATTTAAAAAATACAAAATGACGTCTGCCCCGAAAGATTTAAATACAGTTTTTTAATTAAAATCCTTCGCCCAACGATTCAGGTACTATTCAACGAATATAAATGACAGTCTCAATGTGCTCTTCTTCGGTAGTTCGCAAATCTCCTGCAGAAACAATGAACTGCAACAAATGTTCTTGGCGGTGTCGCCAGCAAATATCGTAAGCGGCGACCCGTTCAAACAATGCCAACACTTGTGAAGGACGGTTGGAGTTCATGTATCCAGCAATTCGATCTGCAACATCGTTCCACTTACGAAGCCAGTCTTCAAATGGCGATTCGCAGTGCCTCTCATCAAGGTGACTGGGCACCCAATGGAAATAAAACTGTCCGACTTCTGAGGCATCCAGGGCTGCGCTGAGCCCCAGCCAAAGGTCCTGGTGCTCCCATGTGTGTGGTATGACCCCCGTGTTCTGCACAAAGGCGGCCCCAAGTGCAATATGCTGGGAATCCGACCACACATGAACTTCAGCTTGTGTCTCAAGCAGTCCCCATCTGACCGTGCTCACAAGGGCGGTGAGCTCCGCCCTACCTATTGACTGGCATGGACCATGAAGAGGGGCTCCACAAATGACTTGACCCGTAGTAGCACTCACCGAGGCCCATGCAGAGTGAGCAACCCGGGATTGTCTATGTTGAAAATGAGCTCCATCCGTAAAAACATGGTTCTGGCCAAAACATGGTCTGGACAAAAACTCAGTCGTACAATCTGGCAGTGCGTCAAAGTAAGCAGCGAGTTCGGTCACCAGCGCAGCTTGTGGCAGCAAAACATGGTTTTTAAAACAACGGGGCCAAGAGTCAAAATCAGGGAAAGTGGCTCTAAAGGGTCCATTGAGGGAAACCAAAAGGGGGCATGAAAACCAATGTTCAAGTGTGTCAGGGCACTGACAGTGATGACACAACCGATCAATGGCAACATCATACCTGCCGAACTTCGCATTGTCAATGTAGCACCCGCTCGAGATGGCTGACAGCTGTGCTTTCTCCAAAGAAGAAAGTGAGCGTGTGAAGCTCCGATGTGCCCAAAGGTCGATACCATGTAGATCTTCGGCAGTTTTGCGGCTACGAAAGCCTTGTGCAACACGCCAAGCCCATGCATCCAGCAAACGATGTTCACACCAGTGCCAAGGAACCTTGAGCAGAGACCATTCAACCTGCCAGTGGTCCAGGATCCTGTCTGCGCTGAGAAAACTCCAACCAAGATGCGATGTCATTTCAAGCATCTTAGAGAAAGGGCCCGCTAGCAGATCTCCATTGTAGGCAGCTAAAAACGTAGCCCAATGCATGAAAAAGTCAGAGGACTTCCTGCAAAGCCTCCTGAAATCCATGAGGACAGTCTTGTGGTGCCATAGCAGAGGATCCGAAAACGGCATATCAGAGAGCAGGAATCTCATGGCAGGGGATGATCCCGCCTTCCTCCAGCCCAAAGCCAAAACGGCTTTGCGACGCAAGACATCCAGGTGTGAGTAAGCGAACCTGCAGGAAAGAATGCCATGTAACCCCTCCGGCCAAAACACAGTAGAAAGCGCAAGCAACTTCTGTGTCAAAGAGGCAGCAGATCTCTTCAATACTGGCCAACGATCATCTAGGCGCGACATCCTGTCTTTGATGTCGCAAACCCTTGGTCGTGCGCCAAAGGTGAGTGACCCACCAAGTTCTTTGGCATGTTCAAGTCGTTGAAGTGGGAACTGTGCAAGAGCCTTGCGATTGTCGCCATCAACAGCCCAGCAGTAAGATTTGTCAAGGTCAATTTCCAATCTCCAAAGTTTGAAGAAGGAGGTCATGGTGGAGAACCCAATTGCAAGTGAGCCCGCATCCAAACTCAAAAGGCCCAGATTGTCGACATAACTGTAGGCATTGACCGAAGGGCAGAACTGTTGAGCATAAATGTGCCAGGTCCAGTCCAAGATACACATCGCAAACACTGAAAGAGCATCTCCTTCAGGGAAGCCAACGGTGCTGAGCGAGCACTGACTGAGCTCCCCCTGCACCACAAAGGTCCGCGACATGGTCGACAGAAAGGTGGCCCATGGCCCCGTCACGGAGCCAGGCGTACCAATATAGTCGATCATCCAGAACAAAGGAGCCCTGGGCAGACAATTGAAAGCCCGTACTATGTCAGAGCTCAATCCACATAGAGCGGAACCACCTCTGCAACTGAGTTCGATCAGTGCTTGCCAGTATGCCCAAATGCCAGCTGCTTCCTGTCCAGGGATAAAGCCGACTTGTTCAGCAGGGAGGTACTGCGACAACTGCGCCAGGAGCTGTCGGCTGCGAATGCTGCCCCACGTTCTATAAAGCAAGCTGAGGACAACAATAGGCCTGAAAGAGGCAACCTCATGTGCATCTGGAGTTTTGGCAAGTGCCTGAATGAGGCCAGTATGAGTTTGAGATGGCCAAGGGGCCCCAGCCTCAATGGAGGAGAGCATGGTGAGCAATGATGCAGTAAGCGCGGAGGGCATATGGAGAAAGTCACGATGGTCCAGTCCATCAACCCCTCTGGCCGCGGTGGGCTTGTACCGTCTCAGTGCTTTTTGCCAATGTGAAGGCTGGATGGCCGGAAGATCAAAGCTGATAGGCCGCATGTGCGCCTTGGCGAAATTGACGATGCGTAGCCAATCTTCTTCAGGGATATCACTGTAAGCATTCCAGCGAGGACGCCAGAAATCAACAAAGGCTTGGTGGACCTCCGTCAAGTCGGAAAGGACCTGATGCTGGTGAAGTTCATCGCCAGGAATCAGCTGAGTAGGCAAGGAAGAGACCTGACAAAGATCATCTTCGGACTCCATGACGGTTGTTCGCACCCCATTGATGGTCCATGTGGACTGTCCATGGAGGTCGAGTGGTCGGTCCAAGTGAAGGGACCCAGTGGAGGGCTCAAAGTCCAGGATGGTGTAGTAGTGGTCGTGCCACAAAAGATCAGGTTTGGCTTTGGGTTGCCTACGGAGTTCACCATAGAGGCCTGCCATGGATGCATCGTGCTTGGCCTTCAGAACTCGGCAGCGTTGTCTAATATGCCAAGATTCAAGTCGGTCAAAACGGTCCCGAAAGGTAGCATAGATACGGTCAATGCCTTCACACGAGGGGATGGCAATAGGAAGAACAGGAGGATCACGAGGAGTCCCGTCTTCATAGCCAATGTTCCAGAAGGTGCGGAAGCCCTTGTCGAATCCTCTGGCTCGGAGAATGGAACTCCAATGCTCGCAACGAGCTACCTGTGCGGAGGTATAGTCGTTGTTAGCATGGATGGCATGTCGTAGAGATTGAATGCGACGAAGTTGCTTGAA